GACGTGTAGAGGGCGTCGTGGCGTTTCTGGAGCATTCTGGCGATGCGGCGGTTCGGCAACGAGTGTGGATGTGGAGGCGTCACCGCGTGGTCCGTAGGGTATCATAACCTAGGGTTTCACTGGAACCATCTAGGTCGTTGGATCAAAGCCAGATCCAACGACTGTGAGCTGAGGCGGCTAGCTGAGATGATGAAAACCCTAGAAGGGTTTCTGTGGGCCTGGACTGGATTGGGCCTCAGGGATTTGTAAAACGGACCTCCTGGTCTGGTATGGGCTCTGATTTTGGGCTTATTTTTTTAATAATAATAATAATGATAATATATATATATATATATAATAATTTTAATAATAATAATAAAAATAATATGAAAAAATAATGTTTACATTTAGGGTTAAAATTTTAAAAATAATATAGACTAAAATGATTATTTAGATAAAAATTAGAGACTAATTTCAATAATATATTTAAATTAAATACTCAAATATAAATAATTTATTTTTAATATTGTAATAAAAGTTAAAAAACTAAATTAAAAAGAAGATAAAGTGTTTTTTACTACCATCTCGAGTTAATATTTGACCCAACTCAGGCTCTATCCATAAACCTGTTTAATGTAACACTTGACTCACATGCTAAACCTAATTTTCACACTATCTCGTCTGACGTGATTTCTTTTTCTTTTTGTTGTACTTACAGAGTTAAGGGTAATGAGTCACTGACATCATTAAAGATTTCGACTCACCCGCCACCTCGCCCGACCGGCTTACACCTCGGCGGCTTCAAGTTATGGTCTCCAGGCAAGCCGGTGCTGTCATTCGTGGCAAAATGGTAATGTATCACTTTGCAATTCACATCTACTAAATTTTCTAATATAACTTTTTAAATCCATATTTCCAACGTAAAATCGTATGTTACAACTCGTATTCGGTGCGGTGTAGGGATCGGGAGGGATCACGATCAAGAAATGGTTGCAGCGCTTATATTCGGGTCTATGATAGCCGGTGACTCCAGGGCAGTGCAACCTTGTTGTGGAGAAGCTGGTAGATTATCTTGCTGATCAGGGCCTGTGATCGACCTACCAAATCGAACCCAATTTTGCATATTTTTTCCATTAAAAAAAACTATGATTTTGCTGAGTTTAAGATTATTTGATTTCACTTCATAAATGTTATTTCTGGGCACAGATTGATGCCATTATTTTTCTAATTGATTTCCATGTTCTGGGTATTCCTTATAAAGAAGATTCGAATATTATTGCAATTTTTTTCTTTGTAAAATGGGAGAATCATGTGGGAGTTTCCCTTTTTTTTATTATATTTTGACGGATTCAGAAATATTTTTTTAGGGTCGACACACAATTTTAACAACACAAAATTTTTGAATAAGTAGAAACAATAAAATTTCAAGTGGAAATGTGCTCACTATCAAGTATAGGTGGATAGGCCTGTAAATGAACTGAACGTTCAACGAACCGTTCATGAACCGTGCATCAGGAAGTTCGTTTATGTGCGTTTATTTATTAAATGAACGAACATGAACAAGATTTTTTGTTCGTTTAATTAAATAAACGAACATGAACATAGGTCTCGTTCGTTAATTTACTTCGTGAACGTTCGGTTATGTACGTTCGTGAACGTTCGTTATGTTCGTTCATGTTCGTCGGTTGTTCGTTTATGTTCATTCATTTATGTTTAACCCAATCTTCTTAAATCAATTTTGGTGACCAATTTGTAAGTATCTTTAAAATATTAATTAATCTGATATTCTGATGACCAACTCCATAATTAACCCAATTTTATTTGGAGATTAAATCCAATATGTTAACCCGTGAGGCACCTCGCACCTATATTCATTTTCTCCCTTTTTTTTTCCAAACTCTAGTGTTCACTGGAGAGTGGAGACGATCGCTGAAAGCTTCGAAACAAGTTATATTATAGTGCAATCTAAATTTTACATGTTTTCATCTCTTTCTATGTTTTATTTGGCTTAATAGTTGATGTAAAGTATTGCGGGTATCTTCACATCTAAAACTCAAGAAAACATCTTACTTCTTTCTAGAAATAGATGGGAAGAAAGGTAACATCGGAAGTATATGAGTATCAGTAAAGAGAAAATATATAGAATTTGCCAGAAAACAAACAAAGGTTTCTATGTAATTTCTGAAAAAGAGTGTAATAGCGGAAGTAATGAGTTTTCCAGGAAAGACCTATTAATAAGTAGAAAATACACTTTGACAATGAACTTTTGTTTCATAGTTCTTGTGTGACCTTTAGTTGTGGAGTAGACTTTAGGTACGTTAAATTTTGAATGGTGGTTTAGCAATAATATTAGTTACGATATGTAGCATCGAAGAGATTTCGATCTATCTTATTGCCTTGTAGTCCAATTTGTACATTTGAAATCTTCAGCTGTTAAATTTCTACTTTGTCAACGGAAAGGACCATTATGAACAAACCTCACTAAAGTCTGACATTAATGTCACAAACTTTAGCCGGCGAATTTATTAGATAACGGTGGAAAATGATTGTTCATGTAATCATGGACCACTAAGATAAATGTTATAGCTTTAAATTAAAGTGTGAATCATTTAATGTCTTTAAAAGATCGATCGAAATATTTGATATCTTCAAACATTTCATCACTACTATCAGCTCTTACGACGTTTATCACTGTAGATTGGTGATTTGCATTGTCGACTATTTTTCATGAAAGAACAATGGAAGGTAGGTCTCCAACGTTTTATATTCGTTTATGTTCGTGTTCATTTATGTTCGTGTTCGTTTATGTTTATTTATTAAATAAACGACATGAACATACCTCCGTTTGTGTGCGTTCGGTTCGTTTACAGGCCTATAGGTGGACACGTGCACTATCAAGTATGGTGGCTCTGCCACTATTTACACTTAATTTTTCTATTGAATTAGTATATTATTATAAGTGTCATTGTTATTTTTTAATTAAAATCTTTAATCTTAATTTTATAGTTAATATATTATCATTAACCATAGCATAAATCTTAAATTGATATCAAATTATTTAAGTTAATAATAAATTTATTAGTATTTTTATAAATTTAGAATATATAACTAAAATTTCTATTATGTCAGATAACATTTATTTTTATCTAATATTGATGATAAGTGATTTGTTTATAATAATATTTTAATTAAAATATTATATTGTATCTTTTAGAAACGAGAATCATTCTTTTTTAACCAAATTAATAATTGAGTGGCCTGAGATGAAATTTACCCAAAAAGGGAAGAAAATTTAACCAAAAAATAAAGCAGATCTCGTTGTTCCTACGCTATATCCCCGTGTCATAAAACTCTCAGTTCTTATTTATTTTTCGAAGCTCTCAAAGCTTTGAAGAAGGAAGAAGGAAGAGGAGAAGGAAGAATAAGAAGAAGAAGAAGATGTCGTGGCAAGCTTATGATGATCTTGCTCTGTGATATCGAAGGCAACCATCTCACTGCCGCTGCTATCATCGGCCAAGACGGCAGCGTTTGGGCCCAGAGTTCCAATTTCCCTCAGGTATTTCTCCTCTAATTTTAGCCCTTTTTTTTTTTGGTTTGGGTTTCGTTTCGAAGAAAAGATTGATCTTTGAGTGACGGAATCTGATTGTTATGATTGAATTCTCATTGTTGATTTTATTAGATGATCTGATTTGCTCCGAAAGGACTGTTATTGTTTACTCGTTAGTGAAACGAATTTTTTATTTTTTGAAGTCCAAGTTGATTTGATTTCAATGTTGAAAGATTGATTTTTCATGCATGGAAAACCGTATGATTCTGGGTTTGTTTGTTTTGTAAGCATTATGCACCGTTTAAATCCATTGAAATCTACTTCTGCTAATAGATCTCTGCAGCTGACCATGATTTAGAGAATGAAACATTTGAATATGCAAATCATGTTCATTTTCCCGCTTGACCTGTGCTTATTGCTTCTCGGTTTTATGTTTATTTCAGTTGAAGACAGAAGAAATCACTGGCATCATGAAGGACTTCGATGAGCCTGGATCACTTGCCCCTACTGGATTGTACCTTGGTGGCACTAAATACATGGTGATCCAAGGTGAACCAGGAGCCGTTATTCGGGGGAAGAAGGTGATGATCTCCGGTGGTTTCTTAATTACGCTGTATCCATGACACTAACAAATCTCATGAGCGGATGACTTTTAGATTATGATCAATGCAAATAGATTTGTCATTTATGCATTTAGATAGTGTAGTTTCTGGTTCAACCTTTTGATAAAATTAGTTGAACTGATGCTGTGCTCTCGTATCTATTTGGTATGCATCTGGTTTCTTTGTATGTTGCTCATGTCTTGTGCCTCCATGCATTGAGATTGCCAAGGGAGTGTATTTGAGACGACTAGTCACCGCGTAACTTTCTAGTCTCTATCTTGTCAATGGTTGTATTCTGAGCATTTTGTCATTTTAATTTCAGGGACCTGGAGGTGTTACCGTTAAAAAGACCAATCAGGCCTTGATCATTGGAATCTATGATGAACCAATGACCCCCGGGCAGTGCAACATGATTGTTGAAAGTCTCGGTGATTATCTGATTGAACAGGGTATTTGATCTCTTTGGTGTGCCCTTTATTTGTAGCAATTCATCTCGACTTTTATGCAAGTGCTGCTGGCTACCTCATGTCGTAATGGTTGAGTGCAGTTAGTATCTTTCTAGTATTTAAGGGAACCCTTTTCGAGATACAGAATGGTTGGTTTTTGTATGTCATGCTTATGATCTCCTGCTCTGTTTACGAACTCATTTCGTTGATGATGTTATCAAAGATTATCCGAGTTTTATTTTGGCTTTTTCTAATGGATTTGGTAAATTATTTGGCTAACTTGTTCATGTAATCTTCTGTTTGTGCCTGCTAAATGCTTAAAAAGGCCAAATGAGCTAAAGAATCCCAAAACCAGGGACATTGATGAAGGAATCACACATCATTCAGTTCAAAGCAGCGGCAATGGACAAAATATACATTCTCATTTTACAGCATCTCATCGTATACCATACAAAAAGCTAGATTCAGCAGGAAGTTCCTCCCACCCCAAATCCATGTCAGACTCTCCTTAATTGCCTTGAAAAAGATGTGTCGAACACATTGTCCGGGATTAGAACGAATCCGTCTGGATGACGAAGAAGAGCTAGCAAAAGCAGTTGTATTACTTGTTGCGGTTTTGTTGACCCTGCATGATAGATAATCACAAAGTTTAGTACTTCAACGATCAGATTCGGGGACGGGGGTGCATACTGAAATATAAGATAGATAGAGTAGGGTAAATTGAAGGATGACAGAAAACGTGCTTACCCTCGTGTAGTAACATAGATGCAATTATCATAGCCTGCACCAATAATGAAAGTTTAGTTTGGGCATGTTGAACCAATTTATGGTGTCATCCGAAAACATTCACCTAAACTAAAGGTTCACGCATTCGAGTGGCGTTGGTATTATAAGTAATGAGTATGTACGTCTAATCTCGGAATCAGATTCAGCTTAAAGTAATTGACTTACTAGGATCCTTGTCAACTTTGACCCCATTTCCCCAAAACTGCAAGCCACATCGGTAGCGCCACTTTTGCTGGTAGTAACTGTTGAATGCGAAGGAGGCATTAGAAAGTGTATTATCAGGCTCGAAACATGGATGGCTCGGCTGAATAGGCGAGCAATCCACATTCCCAGGACCACAAGCCCAATCTAGAGCATTCTGTAAATCTTCTTCAGAAGCAATGCACCATGTTGTTACATTCGATATGGAGCCGCTCGCGCTGTTTATCATGTCAATAGTACCTTTCCCAGTGAAGTCGAGGTTACAGACACTAGTCTGGTCGGGATAAAACAATCCCAGTTTCTCTCCGATTCAAGTCCAGGCTTCCGGTTCTCATTAAACAGCGAGAAAATATACACGTCTAGTTCTTCGCCGGGCTTGGCAGGAGTGCCGGAGTTTTTGATAACAAGATGGATTAGATTGTCTTTATAAGTCTGGGCTTTGGACTCGAATTGGTTTGGATACGCATTTTTACGTTCGTGAATAGGCTTCACACGTCATCCGATCCTGACTTGCGATTTATCGATGATCTTCCAGTAGTTTCTCCCTTTTATGGTTCATTGCCCGATTAAATCAAATTTATTCGTATGTTTATTTTATTCGAACTTTTGGTTAGGCTTTTTAACATTTTTCCTTCTTTGGTTCTTGTATGACCTAGGTGTCTAGGTTTTATGTCTTAATTATGTTTTAATTTATAGTCATGCTCGTAAATCTTCATTCTAATTCTAAATATTTTTAAAATTTAATAAAAAATATATTAATTATATTTTAATTTTATCGGTGGTCGAAATATTTCCAACGTCATATTTTAACAACATAGTAAAATCAAATTAAAATATAAAAAAATAAAAATTTAGATATTAAATGATATTTTGTTGTCCATAAGGGGTGTGTATTATAGTTTACTAAAATATTCTTTCAAGACATCCCATTTGCATAGGCATTTGAGATTCAATGAACAATTGGAAGCAATAAACAATTAATCTGATAAAATAAAATATTATTTCTCTTAAATAAAGTTCAACATTTAAATTTTAGTATTGTAGATAAAGTAAATTAAATTAAAATATCATTTAAGTAACAAATATATATTAATTATATTTTACAGAGTAAAGTACAAAATAATCTTTCAATTAGTTGCTTTGTTGAGTCCCTTAACTATTAAAAGTTACAAAATGGTCACTTAAACATTCATTATGTTCCAAACTCATCCTTTTTCGTTAAAGAATTAACTGTAGTATGAGTTGGACGTTAAAATTGTGACTGAGATATGATAGTCGTTTGAGATTATGAGATTAGATTTTACCAAATCTCATAATAGGTGGGTGATAATTTTGTAACTTTTAATAGTCAAAGGACTCAACAAAGCAACCCCTATAGTCAGAGGACTATTTTGTAAATTTTAATGGTCGAGAAACTTAATAAAATAGTTTCTTATAGTCTGGGACTATTTATGTACTTTACCCTATATATATATATATATATATATTAAATAAATTCCATTTCACTTAAAAAACGAATCAATTTAAAACCGTAAAAAATGTATATATTATTACCCTTAAATTTGGCATTTCACTCGGCACATTAAAATGTTTTTACTTAAGAGGATATTAAAAAACCTTATAACTTAAAAAAATAGTTAAGCCCATGAATTATTTGTGCATAGGGATGGGCATCTAACCCGAACCAGACAGGTTTCGATACGATCTGACCCGATCGGGTCAGATTTTTCTATAAAAAAATCGGGTTCGGGTCGGGTCGGGTCCGACCCTATATATTTAGAATTAATTACAATAATACCCCTCTATATATTTTTTTCAATTTATTCACTGTTTTTATTGAATAAAAATAATTTTTTTATTATTTCGGGTCAGGTCAGGTCACGGGTGGAGGTCCCCTTCTTATCGGGTTGGGTCGGATGGACCAAAAACCCGACCCATGCCCATCCCTATTTGTGCATCTAATTAAAGTTTATTACTTTTAAATTTCATAATTTCATTCTTTAACTAATATTAATATTTTTATAAATTTATCAATCTATTAATAAAGTTTTGGTTTTTTTTACAAAAATTTTAGGATTTAAGAATTTTTTAAAAAATTATAAAGTCTACATGACATAATTACCGTGTGTTACATGATAATAATATCTTAAAAATTAAAAATTAACAATTAAAATAGATTAAATTAAATAATTTAATTCATTTATCATTTTCATTTAAGATTTTAATTAATTTAATTTTTGAGTAAAATAGACAAATGATCCCGATTATAGAGTATTACTTTATTAAGTTCATTGACTATTAAAAGTTACAAAATGATTACCCAACTATTCATTATGTTCCAAAGTCTTCCTTTCCGTAAAAAATTGGCGGTTGTCTAACTTCGATGTTAGCATGATGACTGAGATATGATAGTCGTTTGAGATTCCAAAATAATATTTTATCAAATCACAATCAACGGGTTAACGTTTGGCTCAGAATATCATCAATTTTTAACGAAAAAAGATGAGTTTAGAATATAATGAATAATCATGTGATCATTTTTGTATATTTTAATAGTCAATCGATTCATCAAAGTAATATTCTATAGTCAGATGATCATATTACAATTTTTAATAGTCGAAAGATTTAATAAAATAATATTTTATAATCTAAAGACTATAGATATAGTATACCCTTAATTTTTTTAAAATTTGTTTACAAATTTAATGAAATTGATGTATGATGCCATCAATTCTAATACACTAATTCCATTTGCCTTTCTTGACCAAATCAAATTACATGTCCCTTAAATTGAAGACAGTTGTTAAGAAAAGGATAGATTGGAATTTTTATTTTTTTCGATTTAATTTGAATAAGAATAAATTGTGTTGGTCTCAGAATTTTCTTAATTTCTTTAATATTATTTAATTTTTTATATAAAAAATAATTAAAATATTTATTTGTAAATGAGATTTTAAGAACAGTTTCATACATCTAATCACCAGCTGGACATTACAATAAATTATTATCCATTTTATGCACAGTACAAGGCTTCTTTAATCAAACAGCTTAATAATTTATTCTTTTCATGTCCAAGCAAATTTCTAAGAAGATTGATTTGAGATCCTTAGATACGACTCGGAGGTTTGGTAATCTTTTTATGTATTAAAATGTATATAAAAAAAGTTAGTGGCCAATTTGTTATAATCAATAACGTTAGTGACCAATTTGTTACTTTTGAAATTTTAGTGGATAAAACAAAAATGTACTCAAACTTTAGTGATCATTTATGTAGTTTACCCTATAATAAACAATCGATCATTCATGTCCATCTCTGACTAATACATTAATTTTTTTTAATTTACCTATAAATTTTTTGGAAGGATTTTGTGTGTAAATTTATAATAGATAATCACGTTCTTATATTGAGTAATACCTTGTAAAAAAAATTATAATAGAAAAAATATAAAGAACTAAGTCTTATTACAATTATTTCTAAATTTATAATAGAAAATCACGTTCTTATCTTGAGTCATACCGAGTAAAAAAAATTAGACGAAAAGGCATAAGAGGTTCATGTACTTTAAAATAATTAATGTGGCTCTTGTATCATTTTTTTTCTCTCAATGTGACCATTTAACTACGAAAATAAACCCAATGTGGTCATTTGACCAACGTTTATCGCCGTTGACCGTTACAGTGTTGACGTGACATTTTACAGTACTGAAGTGACGGTTAGGCTGGCGTGGCAGTCTTTGCCATGTTCGAGTTAGCAATTTAGCCAATCTGCCATGTTATCAATCATCGCGGACTGTCACGTCAACATCATGGACCGTCACATCAGGACCGTGAATTATCACGTCAGTATTGAAACAACCAACGAAGAAAAATATTGGTCAAAGGGTCACATTGAACATATTTTATGAGTAGGAGAACCACATTGAGAAACAAATAATACGATAGCCACATTAGATTTATTAAACGTACAATTACATCTGATATCTTTTTACCAAAATCTTATCTTAAACCTTATCCTCTAAAAATTCCAAATCAAACTTTATTTTTTATTTTAAAAAAAACTCGATCCTATAAAAGTAGGGTTAGATTTGAATCTCATGTTCATCCCTAATATCAATGGTAAAATACATGTTAAATAGTAAGAGATGCATAAGAAATCTTAAACACACCACAGTAAGTATAAAACCCTTCTCCAAATTATAAATTTTTATTTATTTATTAAATTTATTTCCTCATCAAACCAATTATATTATGTACTTTTTGAATAAACTCCTCCATTTCTTGAACTTTACAATCCGATCACTGCTGCTGGGGGTTGGGACATGTAAAAATTATTGTAATGGCTTTTTGAAGCAATGTTACTCAAGATAGAAACCTAATTTTCAAAGAAAGAGACTGAGTAGGACATGAATGCCTTTCAAATTTAGATCTTATCCATTGTCCTAGTTCAATGGGAAAAAGGCATATTAAATCTACACCATTAGTAGATATATATATATATATATATATACACACACACACGCATAGGGTTTTCAGAGCTCAGATATTGCTTTTGTTCTTGTTCCTGCTATGAATCAGATGAAGAAGATGGATATCAATGAAGCCTGGGGCAGAAACTTGATGATCATGGAAGGAGACGACTCATCATCATCACTTGGTGAAAACTCATCAAAGAACTGCAGTTCTTCAACATCTTCATCGGACTTTGTTGATGATGCATCATCATCATCATCATCCAATGGACCTCTTTATGAATTATCAGACCTCATGGCTCAACTACCTATCAGGTAAGCACCACCACCAACATGGATCTTTTTTCAATAAAAAATCTAAAGAGAGAAGAGCTTGGTTCTGATCAAATTTATGCATGAATCTGCAGGAGAGGGCTTTCAAAGCATTACCAAGGGAAGTCTCAGTCATTCACAACATTAGCAAGGGTGATGAGCATAGATGATCTTCCAAAGAAAGTGTTGAACAATAGAGGCAAGATGAAATCCTGTAAGAGATATGGATGGGGACTTGATGGTCAAAGAAACAAGTCGTTTAGCCCCAAGGCTGCCACTTCAAAGAAGGGTTGTTCCAACAGAGGCTGTTTCATGTCTTCTCTGGATAAGAGGATTAGTAGTGATTTAGTGATTACTGAAAATGTAGGGTTGAGGTAATATTGTTCATGTCTAGGATGAATCGTCTACAGTCGACACAGATCAAATTTTGTCATTAAGTTGGGATTGGAATTGGGTTCAATAGAAGACTAGAGATAAAGTATTTTGATATCTGGTGCTGGAAATAGATTTTGAATGTAAGAAAAGCTGCAGTTCAGATTTTCAGGTGGATAGATGGCCAGTAGCGCTTAAACCCAAGGTAATTTGGGTTTAATGCACATTCCAAGGCTTGGGGAATGAATATAAACCTACAACTGACAGATTAAAGGTTTGGGGAATGAATGTTGATGAAGATTGCAGCCTGTGTTGTGCAGATTAAGATTCAAGAAACCAGTGGAATGTTCTTATTCTAAAGCTATTTGGAGGAAGATTTTGCAACTAATGTGGTTTGAAGATAGAATCAAGTGATCGGAATAATGAATTACTTGGTATCATCCAATTTTTAAAAAAATAAAGTATAAAATATACAAATATTCCCCGATAATTGGATCTTTCAATTATTAAAAATTATAAAATAGATTATATAATGTTATTTTATTGAGTATTTCGACTATTAAAATTATAAATATAATTACTCGATTATTTATTATGTTCTAAATTTAATTTTTTATATTAAAAATTAACGATCTCATGAGTTTGAACGAATAATATTATAAAGCAAAAAAAAAATGGTCGGCGTTTTCTTACATTGTGTTGAAATTGATTGAATATAATTAATTTCGATCTTATCCATTCACAGAATTACACTTCATCCTCGCCCACAGAGTCACAGAGAGCACCTGCCTTTCCCACCCTCTCTATATATAAACACGCAGACCGCATCACCGGTAAACCACCGATTGACGGCGCGATTTTCGTATCATAACTGAAAAGCAGAAATTATGAAGCGAAGTGGAAAGGGTAGCAAAGGCAACGGGAAGTCATCGGAAGGACAGGAAATCGGAAGAGGGGATGAGCGGATCTCCAAAGAAAGGAGGTCACGGTGGCAAGTTCACCTGGGCCGGAGATGGCCTTTTCACGGCTGAGACAGGTTGTCCATGTTAAGGATCCTAATTTCGAAGATCCAGATGAGGTCCTGAGCACTTGATTGCATTGTGGTATGATGATTATGGTGATCCCGATCATCATCGTCATCTTCATCGCTAGCTTGATCGTAAATATTTCATCAATAAATTGTAATGGATTGTGATTTTCTACTGCTTTTCTACTTCATTTTTATCGATTTTTCTTATGGACAAGATCATTCCTTGATTTCCTAAGGCTAGTTAAGAACTTATCACAGTCCTCCTCCGGGGCAAATTATCGATTTTTATCTATTTTAATATCTAAACTTTTAATTTTTTCAAAATAATACTTAAAACTTAATTTTTTTACATTTCAATATACTGTTATTAAAAACTTTAAAGTTCTTAGCAACTCTGTTCAAAATTACAAATGAAGATGATGAGTGAAGTAGAGTTGATGGTGATATATATATATATATATATATATATATATATATATAAAGAATATGGGGGGCATTGAGAAGGTGAGAATAGTTAATGAATTGGAGTGTGGTGGGGGAAAATTACAGTTCTTCCTCGCCTTAAAACTTGTATTGGTTACACATATCACAGCCATCAAGTTTTTTTTTGGCGGGAAACCCCATTGTTAAAGCTTAATACCGTCTCTAAGTACGATTCTTTACATTACTCGTCGTGCTTTTAGGGGCATTTACAAACTAGGCTGCGTTACAAAAGGCCTTGCATTGTCTCAAGAAAAAGATCATTACTTACTCTGCCCGGTTCAAAGCTACGAGGCGATGGATGACCGCCATGCAAAAGAGAGCATCGTCTCGGCAACTCACATCTCGTTTCGGTATGGACTCCAGAATGGCAAGCGACGTGCAAATATCTATTCAAACGACGACACAAATTAAAATTACTGGAAAACGTGTAAACTTAAGATGAGCTTCCCGTGACAAATATCGATGCGGGTTAAAATGCCAAAACACGTAAAACACGTACGACTAGCGCGAAATATTAGCACAGGATGTAAGGTACAATGAAATGAAATATGAATAGTCTACCTGCCTTCAACTTGTATCTGTAGTTTCTTCATCTAAATACCAAACTTCACGAAACTGTCCTTCCATAGCAAATGGATGAAATATACAGATTCTTCAACCATTTATCCTGAAAAACAGATAATAGCAAGAATCATAGGATGGTATGGGATAAATCAAACATTTATAAGGTATAATTTGGAGCTCCATGGTTTGATCATAACAGACCACAATTCTCTTTATTCGAAAGGTAAATCCGTGAAGAACATACAGCCTCGTGTGAATTGAACTATTCTGGTTCATTTCTAAGCTAGAGCTTACAGGACACTATTCGATAAACGATATTGCCAGTGACATTATTAGCAGGTTGCATGACAATGACATTATAGAAGTTTTCAAGTTTCGAGCGTGGTAGATAATATAACACGGATCACTGAGCCCGCTTCAATCATTAAAGATAGTGATAGAACTATATATAACATCATACACCCTTAGGAAGAAAAATCCTGAAAAATTAGATTACCTTTACATGGGTACTAGGAAAAGCAGATGTACGCAAAGTTTCTTGCATCACGTCTTGTGATTTTCTCTTGGGTGCGCTAAGTATGAATGCTGCTTGGTCATCTGTAGCGGCCGCTGAGGTAATCCGGTATCCTTTTTCCCATCTTCTATGAATCCCCTCACTTGGATAAAGGAAATCGAGTTCAACAACCTAGTTAAAAAATACCAAAATGATTATAGATGATTACTGCAGCGTCATATAATCAAGTGTATTAGTAGGCTGGAATCGGACCTGTCTAGGATAGCCCGCATTCCGGGACATGACAACGCTCCATTTGTTGCCTGCAGTGGTCATTGAGGTCACTGAAAAGCCTTCTTTCCATTTCTTATTAATCCATTTGAAAGGAAATACATCGCAAACTTTGTAGGACTGTTGTGTGTAGGGTGTACCTTTAGAAGAAATAAGGAAAAAGCAATATCAGCATTAATGTTGACTGCCAAAATAAAGTTCATCCTTTTGGATAATTTATATGGTGAACATAGTACTCGGAAAAAATACAAAAACTAAGGCAAACACGATTTTACCCTTTGACATGACAACGAGTGCACTGCCATTGCTAGCACCAGCAACTGAAGTGATGTAGCAATTCTTGTCCCACTGTTCCATTATCCACTCCTGATCAATATAATCAGTAAGGAATAAAACTTCCTATGACTTATCTAATTACATGAAACCGAAAAGCTGACAACTGAGAATCAGTAATTTCTACCTTATGCAAAAAGATAGGCGATAACTCGTAAACCTGAGATGTGAAACCTGTCCCCACATCCATAATAATGGCCCACAGATTCGATGATGAAGCTACGCAGCTAATATACAAGCCATCTTCCTTCCCCTTCTCCACATGTTGGTAGAGTCTTGAATCCATAACATTGTAGTGATATCTGCAGAGAGCATTATGAGTTTTTAATAACAAAGGAGGAAAAATCTAAATACCAAAAATGGCAGGAGCTATATATACTTTATAGCAAATTTTCACCTCTGCTTCATTGAAGGTCTGGAGTTATAGACAGAGATCCACTGACAAGCAGGAGCTCCTAGTCGGAGTTTCTTCTTAAGTGGCTCACTATCTTCCAACTCAGAAACTAATCTTCCCCTTTTTTGACCCACCTGATGCATTAAAAATTATTAACAAATTCTTAAAAAAATCGAACTTTTTGTTTCAGTGTTGGAACAACTTAAAATCTCGGGCAACAACCTTAATAGCACCATCAATTAGGATAGGGAGTATTGATGAATTGAAATCTATGCTATTATGAAAAAGGGAAATGAGCTTCGAGTAATTTGGCTCTTCATCAAATTTCATATTTGTCACAGTATCGAGAAACTGTTGAAAAGGTGGAAGGCACAAGTAGCAAAGCATTTCGGGAGAAGTTGCCATCTTTTTCTTACAAACAAGGAATCCTTTGTTCTCTCCCTGCGGTCCCATGGCAAAACAAATCACAACGCATTAATGACAGGAGACAGCAATTAAGCTATAGTCATTGGAAATACAAAGTGAAAGAGTTGAATAAACTTACAACGTAACCTTGCCAGGGAAGTTTTCCTCTAAGTAGAAATATTAGTGTGTAAGCCAATGATTCAAGGTCATCCCTTCGACTACCAGTCCTGCCCAAATGAGCATGCACACTCGCATAACGCACGGTTCCCCTAAAATGAACAAAGTAATAAATGTTTTAACATGGCAAACTAAATGTTTAAAATCTTTCCTTATTCAGCCTGAACTCTGAAGCAAGAAAAAGCAACTAGGCAGCAAGTCAATAAACATATATCACTTTAAAAATTATAAATAAATAGATTCTCGGGAAAATGTTCATGTTCATAACATAAATCCGCAGTCTCAGACTTGGAGCCCATTACCTAAACACATCAGGTCTTTGGTCATAATCAACATGGCGTCCAGAACCTGTTTCCTTCCATCTTGAAGCTGAAAAGAACCAAAAATTTTAGGTCATTCCAAAATAAAAATAGCAAAGCATCTCTAATACGTAAAGGGAAAGTGGCTATACCCAAACCAAGATCAATTAGATACAACTTCTTCTCATTTACAGTCCCAGGCTGACCAAGCAAAAAGTTCTCAGGCTTAATATCTCCATGCACAAAACTGAAGCAGAGAAAAGAAATGTGAACAAAATACGACAGAGAGTAAAAGAAGCGAGGGAAAAAATGGAAATATAGCAATTTTGAAGTACCCTTTCTGATGAAGCTGCTCAAGAATTGATATTGCCTCCACTGCTATACAAGCGACCATCTCTTCTGTCAGCCTATACCAAAAAGCAAAACAACATATATCAGGAACAAAGTTTTAGTAAAAAAAAAATATTCAAAACATAAAATTCTAGGAAAACCGAGGATAACCCCAAATAGGAGGAAGAGAGAAGAATAATTTCTTACATCTGGTTGTTTGAATTCCAAACATCCCATAAGCTTGGACCTAGCATATCCATGATCTAGATTCACAAAATTCACAGAAACATTAATAAGGACCTTCAAGTTTTTTCGTTTTCCAAAATGCATCAGTGGATTTGAAATTCTTTACTAAAAAACTGACAAGGATGTAGTAGCCTCCCAGTTGACCTTTGTAGTGAACCAAAGGAAGTCCATAACAACCATTAAGATCGCTGAATGATATTTGAGACAGAAAAACAAATTAGTTCATAAAAGTTTGGAAGTTCAAATGACTGCAAGAATCAAATCTGGCATACCTGTACACTTGCCACTCATAAGGAGGACCAGAACTGCATCCCTTACCATTTCGATGCTCAAGTTTCAAAGCAACCTGCAAATTGAAGCAGGATATTGATATTAGCAACAGAATCAACTTCATGTGACTTTTGTATAGGTTCAGAGGAGTTTCAAGTGAAAGAGAACCTCAAAGGCATCTGCCCCAGTGCACCCTGTGCCATCATAGATCCTTCTTCCAACATAAACCTGTCCGAAACCCCCTTTACCCAGCTTTCTGTCTAACTTGTACACAGGAGAATTTCCAAGCTGTACCTGCAAAAGGAGAAGCAGCTAGAATATTAGTATGAATCACATTAAAAGGTTTGGAACATGAAATTTGAAGATAAAATATGTAAGTGAAACAGTCAGATTTGACCATAAATACTTATCACATCAGGCATAACCAGAAAGAAAGTTATATATGCCTCATCTTTTTCTTTATTAGGGGAGGTTGGAATACTTGAAGCGGTTGCTTAGACCAATCTGGTCATTTACTTCAAACAGTTTGACATCCCCATCGCCTAACATGAGACTCTCATCCATTATCATTCATTACAGCAAAGGCAAATTATTGGGATCAGAATTCAGATTAATAAAGGAGAACAATCATACCTTTTCAGGAAGTGGACTAGTGCTTCCTTCTTCCTCAACAGCAACCAATCTTTCTGCAGTCTTCTCAATTACGGGCCTTGCCGGCAAGTTTATTCCTGCTCCATCCCTGACACAGGCACTAGGGCCAACAAGCTTGGCATTGTCATCCTGATTCATTGCTCTGCGCCCTCTACCTCTACCTCTACCTCTAGTAGCTGAAAATTGATTCATATTATACAGGGAAACAACAGGTAAATTGGATATATTCAAAACATAAAAACATTTTAAGAAAAAATCGGAAAAGGTTATAACCAGTGCCACGCTGAGCAGTTGGAGCTACGGCAGCAGGGTTCTCCTGGTTATCATTGATCCTCTTTGATCGTCGAGTTCCACCTCTCAAATCTGGCATTCTTTTCCCATGCAAAAAAAAAGGAAACATCCTCTGATTAAATCACTAATCATGATATTTTACTAAACCATCAACACATCCTTCAGCTAAAATCTCCAAATCTTCCACCATAACATCAACAACCCCACAAAGTGGGAATTAATAACATATACTAGTAAAATTCATAATCCATTTCAATTTCATAGCAACCTAAAAAACAATACTACAATAATCATACATCAAACATCAAGTTCTAAGAAACCATAGCTAACTTGTATGCTTACAAATTCAAAAACCATGTGTAAACCATCATCAAAGTACGAATGCACTTCTATATCAGATTCATCCAAGCAGCAAAACCCACACTCCGATGATCATCATAATAAGAACTAAAAATTCGCATTGATCATCTACTAGGGAGAAAAAAAAACCCAATTACTCAAAACTGAATCCAAATCAGTTCCAAACAAAAACACAATAAATCATCCATAAACCAAATACCAATGTGTTCTATTTTTAATAAATAGTTTATAAATCAGGCTCATTTCTTGAGAAAAAAAAGTTCAAAACTTGAACAAATTTCAGCATTGGCTCTAAACAACAACTTGATCATACCAAAAATATAAATCTGGGCACTCAAAAATCAAATGATCGTCCAAAAAACCGACCCCCATCACCATAAAAACTCTGCTTTTTCTTCTAAAAAATAGCAAAAAAATCAATACCCACAATCCGATTGCCATAAAGAAGGCACTAAAGAAACAAACACATCAAAACATACCCAAACCGATTCGCTTCTTTTACCGTATCATCTTTTCTCTTTTTTTTTTTTTTTGTTGCCGCCGTTTCAATAAAGGCAACAGACAAACAGATAAAAGGGAAGGATATGTGATATATACCTTTTCACAAGAAGAACGTAGAAGATGAAATTGAAATGAGGCAAAGCAATCACGTGCTTTAAATAAAAGTTTGGTGCATTAACAAACAAAAATGTCGAAGAGTTCAATCGAAAAACGATTCATGCGATGGGAAAACAAAGAAGAAGAAAAATGCCAAATATAAATAAATAAATGGAAAGCGAGAAATGACGGTGAGTGAGTCGAAGGAGGCAAAGGGCAAGGAGACATGGACGAGGACTTACCTACGTAGGATGACATTAGGGGATTACGTGGAATGACCTAATTGGTTATCGTAAATTAAGGCACCAATTTGTTAAAGAAGGTGTTTTGGGAGGACTAAAAGATCATTTACCATATTATTTATGATAATATGTTTATTTTTTCATTTTATCTTTTATTAAAAAAATCATCATTTCATAATAATATTTATCCTATTTATAAGTAAAAATTCTAATTTCATTGAAAGTTTGGATAAATTATAAAATTACTTTATTTATTAATAATAAATAGAAAGAGTTATTTTTGTTAAATTAATTTATCTCTAAAATTTATTTTTTATTTTTTAAAGTAATGTTCAAAATATTTCAATCACTTTTCAATGAATGTAACTGCCTATATCCATTTTTGGAGTTACAATTAAATCAGGGTGGTCACGTTGATTGGGCCATGAATGAAATTTGTTTAATAAATTATTTTGCAAATATTTGTCAAATATGTCGGAACGGTCCTTAATCTTTTTGGGCTTTGGCGATAACCAATCCAACTTAATATTGGAAAATATTGTGTTTTAAAATAAATGTAAAAATAATTAAATTTGGAGTCGCCATCGACCTTTGGGTTAAGTAGGTCGAATACCTAAAAATACATTTTAAAATAATTTTAAAAATAATTTTAAAAGATAAAAAGTGATATGCGTTCAACCAGAAATTTGTTTTGAAAAAGGGTTCGAGAGTCGATTAGTGTGGGGGAAGGATTAGCATCCCACAACGCCCGAAATCGGTACCTAAGCGATTATACATTATCTAAATATCGAAATTGGCAAATTCAAATATATATTTAAATTATGATTTTTTTTTAGAAAAAAATATATGAGTTGTTATTTTGCATGAACAATTCTCGAAATGTCTTCCTTATCAATTAAGGGGATATTTTTATAGATTCCCCATACAAAATAATATTGCCCAAATTTCTAAATAAAATACATATATAAAATAAATATAATAATATAATAAATCAAAGTCTGTAAACATATAGGGGTTAAGGAAATTAACTAAGCAAATACATACATATATGATATAACATAATAGTAAAATACTTAATAACATATACGTAATAAGGAGTAAATAAAAATATGCTAATTTTTAAAATAAAAAAATGAAAACATTTTCAGTGTACAAAATATTCATAAATAATATATATATATATATATATATATATACAGCACTGCACTTCTTTTGCAGCACTGCACTTCTTTTGCAACGATTACATATAGCCTTTCATTCATTATTGATCTTTCCTTCTTTTTTAAAGTCATAATGCGGGTTTTAACTTTAACGAGATGCAATTCATATTTCTGACTGTCGGAGGTCTTTTACGGAAGCTGCTCTCAACCTAGCGTTGGGGGCAGCCTACTATCCTACTTCCTCCTCACCTTCACCCTCACCCTCACCCCATTACATATGGGAATAGGGTCAGTTAATTTTAACGAGATGCAAATTGTTGGATGACTATATATTTCAAATTAATTTGAAGTATAAACTAAAATATACAAATTTCAATGAACACTAACTAAAAACCCTATTGATTTTTAATAGGGTAAGATTATTTTAACCTTAAATCCAACTCAGACTCGAACCCGAATCTTTTACACATATCACCTCACATGACCTGATTTGATTCCGATTTTTTTATAAAAAAAAAATTTGATCCTATCGAGTTGAATCAAGTCAAAATCCATTTAATCCGGATCTCATGTCTATCCCTAAGTAATACTCCATTTAACCACGACTGATATCACTATATGATGAGAATTTTATTTCCCGTATTGAGAGTCCAAAAGGGATCATATGGTCATAAACATTTTGATAATTCTAGTAGTTCAATGTTCAAGTACGATGGTGCAAAACTTTGGTTAGAGACAATGCCTTATGTTGATGTTCTCGGCTTCTCGATCTATGAACTAAGATAAAACATTAAATGTTAAGACTCTCGTCATTGTCTGTTCAATTCCGATCCAATTCTTAGTCAAAAACCAACCTACTACCTTCCATTTTCCTCCCTAGTAATTGGAATCTGTAGGGCAAACCGGGGCTGCTGGTGCAACGCAGATGGTTCGTTTTGCAGGCATCGACGCTGGCTGCTGCCGACCGTCATGCACCCGGAGGGGGTAGAGTGACTGGTGGATCCACCGGTTCAATGAAGTGTCTGTGTTCGCCTACGAAGCACCCGGGGTCGTTTCGATGTAGGCATCACCATGCGGAATACGTGTGGGGTGGCCGAGTCATCTGCAAGAAATGACTGCACTACTATTCCCGGAACGTGTGCCTGGTACTATTTAATGGAACCAACGGCTTGAGCTATTTTATTCCATATGGCTTCCTCTTGGTCGATTTTTCTTTGTTTTCTTTTCTTATGAATCATGTTTCCTGCCCAAATCCCAACCCTTCTCCACCAACACCTCAATGATCGGATTCAAATTACGATATCATCTCCTCCATGCTGCAATTGTGAAATAAAGGAACGAAAGAAAACTGTAAAAATCTATTATCTTTCGGATTTCATCCAACAATTATGATCCTTACTCAGCTTGAAGGAAACTAACTGCAGAACAGTAGAATAGTCTATCTGTGCAAAGCTGGAATCTCAATTCACTCATAAAAGTCAAATTCAATTGAATCTCAATATTACAGAACCAGAAGGTAAGCCACAATCATGGGTTTACAATTCCTAATATACGCACTTACTTGCCGAGCAAGCAAAAAAGTACTTTGGGGATACATAGCCTTATTCGATAACCGAACTATGATCATTTACATTCACATATACAGTATAACTGATGAGGAACCAAATCACAGCAGCATCCGAATCTGTTTCCCACTTCTAGTACATCCACTGGCCCAAATGGTATATATTGGTGCACTGTCCACCACATTACTGCGAATCACAAACCATTATAGGGTTATCAGTGAATGGATCTTTCATTAAAAAAAATGGGCAATCGGGTATAGAAGAAAGACTTTTCTTATAGATGGCAAGGAAGCAAAACTGGTCTTAGCACTGTGATTTCATATCCTTGCAAATTGGGCTGAATAATAGACATGTTTTGTGATTTCATCGGACCCAAATTTTAACTATTTATAGCATTAAGTCATTACATTATTGAACTTAGAGACCTTCATACATCAGCTTACACAGCTAATTAGAAAAAGCCATCTCAACAATCCACCTACAGAGCTACTGCCTCCTCAAGAAGGAAAGGATAGAGCTCTTTTACTTTAAAAGAATTTCTGCATATTCAATTGTTCACTATACCATAAATGGCCTCGTACATTTATGCTTAAACTCGACCAAGTACTAGAGTTTCAGAGGTCTCTTCAGTCTTCATTCTTTTAGCAAAAATCCACAAACAAGCGTTAATCTACATGGCCTAAATTTTATATACTCCACAATCATGTTTATACCTTTAGTCACAGAGCTCTAACAAGTCCAACAACCATCCGATTCTTCTAATCCTTCCTGACTAGGGGTGATTATCAAGCGAGTCGATCGCGAGTTGGGTAGTGCTCGACTCGTGCTCGTCAAAACTTTTGTTGCTCGACTCGACTCGGCTCGTTGCTCGTTAAAAAATAGTTTGTCAATAATAGGGGTGCTTAACCAGTTGAACAGCTCGAATTCGACTCGGTCAAAACTCGATAAACGCTCCACTCGAGTTGGCTCGACTCGAGACCTTAACGAGCTGAGCCAAGCAAAGTTTAACTTGACTCGATAAGTTCGCGAGCAGCTAGTTAATTTTTTAAAATATATTTTTAGTAATTACTTCAAAATTATTTTATTCAAAAAATAAATCTAAATAATAATTATTAATTTATTAATAAATAATAATAAAAAATAAGTTAACTAATATATTATTTTTAATAAATAATAAAATATTATTATTTAATAATATTATTTTAATACAAAAAAAAAACCAAACCTTAATATCCTCCTATAATATTAGTAAATTTTTTTTTAGTTAAAAAAACAAGGTAAATTTTTTAGTGAGCTTAACGAGCAACGAGTCGAGTTAAACAGTACAATTTTTTTTAATAAGCACGAGTCGAGCAACAAAATTTTTTATCGAGCACGAGTCGAATATTACCCACCTCATGATTACTCTCTCGATAAGCATCCCTAATAATGGACGGGTAGAACGATAACGTTTTGGTGGTTAGGGTTTGGAGGGAGTCGGCTGTTGGGTACGGACGATTCTCGTAAATCCTGTTTCGACATCTTCGCTTCTGTCCAGTCGTCGTCGGTTTTGGCGGTGGTGTTTTATTAGATGTGGACAAATGTAAGATGTGGACTCTTATTGGGTGTACTACGTTGTCGTTTTAGCTTACATATGCTTGTCAAATTATTAGTTTTATTATAAATAAGTTATTTTATTTCTAAAAGTTACAATTAAGTTGCTTAATTAAAATATTATTATAAATATATCAATTAGTCATTAAAATAAAAATATATTTATATTATGATATAGTACAATAATTATCAATTTTTAAATTTTATATATTTTATTAATTTAATTTTAATTTAAAATAATTTAATACTTGAATTTGTTGAGCAATCTCAATAATAATAATAAATATTATTCTTTCAGAGTTCATATGTTTAAACAATTGTATTTGTAAGATGTATCTAACCGATCAATTATTAGATATTATATATCAGGTCATATTAAACATATATTTTAATTTTAAAGATAGAATGATATATTTAAAATGATATTTTAATTAAATAAATAAAATATAATTTTTAAAAAAAATTAATATATTTGTAATCAGATTGATAATTGATGTGAGATATATTTTACTCATCAATGATGTAAATTGCAGTAGCCTGAAACAGAGAGACCTTTACCAGATGAAGAAAATTGAAGAGAAGCAAAGCTGCTGCTGATAAAGTTGTTTGATTTATAATCACATCCCAAGCAAATACAAAGACCCCAACACACCTATATATATATATATATATATATATATATATATAACATAGCACTTGGTTTGGTCATGCTTTTTAATGATTAATTCTGGGGTTTACGTAGAGTCGACGGACATGGGAGAAAAAGGAGCATGATCGGCAGGCATGGATTTGGATCGCTTCATCTTAGACGATGACCGATGAAATCTGCATCGGAAAGAGCCTTGATGAGTCGTCGGCGAGCACAAACATTGTGCTCCTTTGCCGGAATTGGCTGTTTCGGAGGCGCTGTTGCTGCCTTTGGGGGAAGTGCTTACTGTAATGTTTCCATGGGAAGCCATGTTTTTTTTTTTTTTTTGGACAAGAGAGAGAGAGAGTGTTTAACAAAGGAGCAAAAAGGGAATTGAAGGGGCAAACTTGAAGAAGCGATTAGGCCTTGGTTATATAGGACAAGATGGGTAAACAAACTCAAATGTTGTCACTCTTAGGATATTGTGTAAAGATCGAGACTTTAAACTAAGCAAAACCATTTGATCCACTAAGGTGGTTTGTGATCTTTCACTATAATAAGTTAATAATTAATAATATAAATTACTTTTTTATGTCTCATGTACTTTTATTTTTTTTACCTTCCGATTTCAAGATTCTCTTGATTAATCCGGATCGATCTACGTTGCATACATGATTTTGGTAATTGGAATGTAGTAAGGCAACCGCCTCCTATTAATATAAAATTAAGCTTTATTCTTCTCAAATGAGGTTATTCTTTGAAATCTTGGTGTTTAGTAACATTAGATCTCAATTATATTTAAAAATTAAAATTTATTTAAATTTATATTTTAAAAGAAAAAATTACGAATCAACTTATCTCGGTGGTTAAAGAAATCGTTGTTGCTCTTAGAGGTTATAGATCCGAACACCAACAATTCTAACTGAATGATTGAGCGTTTGTCAAATAGTTAGAATATTTAAAGTTTAAAAAATTGAATGTTTCACATTAAACCCTTATAATTTACACTTTTAAGAAATAAATTGAGACTCGGCTGAAATAGTATTGAGCCCAAGTTGTTATTCGGCTATATCTTTGAGGTTGAATTTGGTTGAAAGCTTGTGATATCAATAATAGAATATTTTTTTATCAATTTAGGGTGATTACATGTGATTAAATAATTTATAATTGTTAGCGCTCGAACTTGAAATATTTAGGGATAATAATTATTACTTTAATCACTTAAGTCGTTTAGTTTGTGCATAAATTATTATTATTATTGGCACTAAAAAAAGTTTAGGTCATGGATGACTTTCCAATACAGAGTCAGCGTATATTTAAGACCTAAGTGAGATTTACATAAGAATTTACAGACTAGAGTAAAGATGGTAGGATTAAAACATGATAGTTCAAAAAATACTTAAAAAAATCTTAAATCTTCGTTTAAAACTTAAATTTTTAACTTTTTGACCTTTTACACCATCTTTGGATCAACTATGTAAATCAAATTTAACCTATAATATTTTTATTACTTTTTCCAACTACTTTACCTTCTTTATATATAACTATCGGTATTTGATTTATGAATCGACTAATCCGGATCAAGTATTACAGAGACAATAACGATCATCTCAATCTAATTTTTTCATACACAATCACTAAAATTCAAACCTCGACTCCCTGACTTTACTTTTAAGATCACCTAAACCATTATTTTGGATTATAATTGAACTAATAGAGATTTTAATGTTTGATTATAGGTTTAAATATCTTAAGTTTTTTTTTTAAAATGACTTTAATACTTTTTAATTTTTTTCCTTAAAAATTAAATAACACGTCAGAACTGTAAACTTAGTCTTTGCATCCCTATATAAAAAATTATGGGTAAATTACGCATTTGTTACCTAAACTACAATTTTAATATATTTTAATATCTAAACTTTCAATTTTTTCAAAACCATATATAATGTTTAGTGTTTATTTCATTTTAGTACATATTCAAAATTTAACGTTAATTTTTGTTTGCAAAAACATAGCAAAAGTAAATAATTTAGCTACTAAATGCATTAAGTTTTTTACGATGAGTACTAAAATGAAACAAAAATTGAACTTTAGGTATAATTTTGAAAAATTGAAAGTTTAAGTACTAAAACGAACCAAAACTGATAGTTTAGGTACTAAATGCATATAGTTTACCCAAAATTTATTGACAAAAACAAGTTAAACGCAACACATCAGTATTTCTTCTTCATTGACAATAAAAATTGCGTCGAGATGTCTGAATCCAATCCAATTTAAATTATCTTTTGCAAATAGAAATAAAATTACTTGACCACCGAAATGAACACTTACTAGTAGTTTTTGGTAATAGTCCTAGCAAAAACATCTCAAGAAGTTGATGAGTAAATGGAACAAGTAATTTTCCTGGTCTAACATGTCACGTCGAACCAGCCTTTCCCATATGATGTTCTGAGGCAGATGGTCACTGTAATATAGCAAAGTCGTGACCGAGGCCGCCGGCTCCGAAATCAACGATGTCAACAGCCGCAGCAGAGATCGGAACATGAGGGGTGCGAGAGACTGCAACAAAGAACATATACTGTAAAACTAATCTATCTATCCATATTATATGTATGTTGAGAAAGAAAATGATTGAAATAAGAGATGGGGGAGGAAAAGGAGCATATACCATGGGGTAATGTGGGGGGGGGGGGTGGTTTGGACAACCTGAAAATATGCAGAAAATGTGGAGCTTGGAAGGAGTGGAGTGGGGCATTGAGTTTATGTTCTCTCACTATCAATCTTCGGATCAGCTGACGGTCATACCTAACCTTCCATGCAGTGTCCCCGGGAACTATGAAAAATGTTGGGCCTTGGTAGCTGGAGAATAACGAGGTCAACAACTGTTGGCAAGTGGAATTTGGCAACAACCAAGTAGGTATCACAATGACTTAAATATATATTATCTGAATATTCGATGTTCAAATTTACTTTACTTTTATAAATAACTTTATTCCTTCAGTTTTTCAATTTAAATACTTGTTATATCCTTGTACAAATTGTTTCCCACGAGATTCAATCCTAACTCCGTCCCCTCGGTTAAACTGATGTCATAGCAAGTTAGCAACAAGTATCAAACCGCTTGTATTCTAGTTCTGAAACATCCCACCATAATCTTCTGGTTGTCTTTTTAGTACAAGCGACCCCCTTTGCCATCTAGCCTTCCCTTCTGTTTTTAAATCCTTCCATCAAAACGTGTCATTGCTTCTTTCTCCTACATAAACAGGCACTTATCACGTTTACAGTACCAAGGAAAACTGTTGGACCAGAAAGAACACATTGCCGATGATAAAGGAGTAGCATACACAAACTCGAAAGCTAGAAATGTCTTACGTGATGGATATATGAGCCCTCAGATATAAGATTTTGGAATGGTAAGAAGTTTCCGTCAGAATTAGTACATGGCCGATATAAACAGGGTAAGTTTTGCGACAGAACATTTAGGGTCTCAGCTAATGCCTTAATTGGAACTACATGCATCTCCTAACTAGTATTAAATGGCCATGTATTAGTCAGTGTTGCCAGAGTATGCAATTAACGGTATTTTATCTGCAAAATCTTATGTCTTCAGTTTCGGAGTACTAAAGAACACTGTTTTATTTTCCATCTACCCACCTGGCTGCCCGCCAAAATCATCACGTAGGCTAACAAGACAACTTTAAACATACTGCAGATTACACAGAATACTTACATTTTGAGTCAGCAACGAAAACGGCGGGAGGCATGGGGTTTGTGGATGCAAGGTGAACTTCTCGAACTCGAGAATGAATTGCTGGAAGCATGCCCCCCAAAAATGTGCTTTAGAGTTGTATTCAGGTTGCTTTGATGTGAGCACAAGCGAGTGCTTCCATGTCCGAACTTACAAATGATGTTATATTTCTACAAGGGACAAAAGTACCTGCACGTTCTATCAAAACAGAAAGGAGGGTAACATATTCCCAAAGCAAATCAAGCCCGTTTCAGTTCACATCATGTACATATCCTCCATACCAGAATCTAGATAGAGATTATGTTACATTTCCTCTAAAATTTCTACATACTTATGTGCATGGTACATGCTCACTATAAAATCAAACCGTATTATGTCTTCAATGCGGTTATACGTTCAAGAGAGCCGAAACTCTAGAGGATATCAAAGATTCAAATCATAGATGCATGACATCAAGATAACTAACAATCAAGCCCCCTTTTCATTTCGTTTTCATCCAAGAAGTTCTAACCCTTATACTAAATCAGCCTGAATAAATTCCGACAAGATGGTCCGGAAAATGGATGACTACAACATTCCATCAACTCAACATACTAAGCGCATAAGAAAAATTCAAACTACATTTTATCATTATTGTTTGTCAGGATTCTCGGGGTCTTCTTCCTTTTCAGGATCTTCCTCCTCTTCCTCTTCCTCTTTCTTTTCTTCCTCTTCTTCGTCTTCTTCCGGAGGATCGTATGGCATCGGTGGTGGTAATGGTGTTTTCATAGGACTAAATTTAGGAAATATATCAGGTCTACGCCCAGGTTTAGGCCTCTCCCACTCCTGCCAATTAAGCCAACAAAAATGTTGAATTATCCAAGCAGATCGTCAGCACCCATTGATCAGACAACGCTTAATTACAGCAAAAAGTAAATTAAACATATCACTTAAAAAATACTTGAAATTCACTCTCCCAGTTTTAGGGTTTAAAAAGGACTTACGATGGGGAAATCGAGGGGGTTGCGACGAGTCAATTTCTCTTCCTCAGGAGCCATACAAACCAAATGAAGTTTCGTTCTCCTCGTCCGCTGACGGCCGTTGGAGAGCGGAAAGACGAGGGAGAATCTACCGCCGCGGCTAGTGGAAGTGGAGGAAGAAGAAGAGCCGGTGGAGGGCGGCGGCGATAAGGACATGCAAACGAATGACGCCATGGTTTGTGGTGGTTACTGCTTACCCAGTCGGGCGAAAGCGGAGTTTCAGAAATTTTTGTGCTTCGCCAATCTATCTACAACTAGTATAGGGCTACAGGCAGCCCATAAAGATATTCAGATCCAATTCGATCTATAAAATTAACCAAAAATCGATAACCGAAAAAAATCGAAATTCATTTAATGTGTTTGGTTTTTTTTTAAAAATCGATCGGTTTTGTTTGATTCAGTTTCGATTTGAAAATCCAACATCAATCCGAACTGAACCAATAATCTCTTACAATTAATGGCATATTCCCACTGTTCGCCTTAATATTAACGTAACTAAAACCAGAAACAAGAACCGACCGGGAAGAATAAGTAAAATAAAAAAAAAACGGCATATTCCCGCCGTAATAGCGGCGGTATAACGACGTTCAAGGCCACTTCGTTAATAGTTGAAAAGTTCATTTTGGCTTCACCTCTAAATATAGATGCTTGTGGCTTGGATTGTTGTTTTGGAATGTTTTGAATTTGAACAATTATACAATTTTTAATAATATATTTGGAGTTTAGAATTTGAACAATGTATTGACATTATCGTTGCCTTGAATTATTTTAAAAATTTAAAATTTAAAAATCGCATTAATTCAAATCAAATCAAGTCGTACTTAATTATATCAGATCAGATTTTATTTTTAGAAACATTCAAATCGATCCAAATCACAAATATTTATACTTTCAGATTGAATAAATTTTTAACTAAAAATAGATCTAAACCGACCTCGAACAACCCTAGCAGCCCATATAAATCTCACCAACTCTAATTTTCTGGCGGCTCAGTCCCTTCACTTTTTATATGTTTTGATAACCTGTGGGTAGGCTTAAGGGCAACAGGCCATGATTGATGATATTAAAATATAATTTAAAAAATAATTATAAATAAGGTAAATTATACGAGTGACACTTTTATTTCTTATTTATTTTATTTTGATCACCGTTTTTTTAAATATTGATTTAATTATTTACATTATCAATTTGTCTTATTTTTTATTATTAAATCATTAATTTTCACTAGTTTTAATATTATATATTTTATTGTATTTATAATAATTTAATACATGACTATAGCATAATGCTTTATTAAGTCCCTTATCTATTAAAATTTATAAAATGGTCCTCTGACTATATAGTATTGTTTTATTGAGCCCTTCGACTATTAAAAGTTACAAAATGATCATCTGACTATTCATTATGTTCCAAACTCATCATTTTTCATTAAAAAATTGATGATATTCTAAACTAAACGTTAAACTTCTTATTGTGATATGATAAAATCTAATTCTAGAATCTTAAATGACTATTATATTTCAATCATCATGTTAACATCCAACTTAAACAATCACCATTTTTTTAACGAAAATGGATGAATTTAGAACATAATGAATAATCAAATGACCATTTTGTAACTTTTAATAATTAAAAGACTTAATAATGCAACATTCTATAACTAAAGAACTATTTTATAACTTTTGATAATCAAAAGGCTTTATAAAATAGTATCCTATAATCAAGAGATCATATGTATACTTTAAAAAATATATTACGGTTTTTATTTTTTTAAGTTTTTGGACTGTTTTTATAAATTTTAAAAATTCTAAAATTTTAGGATTTAAGGTTCATACAACCATGAACCATGCTATATACCACTGAATCATTAAAAGTTTCATTCAAGGAAGCATCTATTCAAATACACCTAAGAACCTAGAGAAAATGCTAATTGGATTGGAAACCCTATAACTACTTTGATTCAAGCCTTAAACCCTCCACTTCCCAAGGCGTTTCCGTGCTGCTAGTGCCCTTCTCGTCCTCAATGTGGCAGTCTTCTCCTCCTCTTCGCTTTCTTCACTATCTAGAACAACTACATTTTCAGATATTGAATATTCTTCTTCCAACACATCAGTTTGCATACTTTGAGCAACTTGATGGGGCTGCTTCTTCTGGATAGGTTCCGAGCCCTGTTGCTTACGACCGAGCCGCTTTTTTCCAGGATTTTGGGGCTTTGAATGTGGCAAGCTCTGTGCTGGCATCACATTCTCCTTGTTAACCACTTGTTGCCTATATGATGAGCCTTTCAGTCCCAGTGAAAGCTTCTTACCTACAGAACTGAGCTTCTCCGGTTTCTTATTCGCAGAGATGTTTTCGGTGCCGAGTACTTTGGTGTTGTCACATGTTTGCATTGGTTCCCTAGACCCAAATGGTTGTTTCTGCATTTGACAAGGTTTTGTGTTGACCTTTGTGCTGCTGTTTCCTGAATTACGATCTTCGTCCTGGTCATGTTGTTGATTGCGGTTAGCCTGACAAGAAGCCTGGTGTGTGAATAAGTAATTTGGGTCCACATTTTCCTTGTTATCAAAGTCATCATTGTACCGATCAGACATTTTCGAACACGATTTCCGGCCATTTTCATTAACTTCATCTTGGTTCAAGTTGTATTCGTTCAGCACATCATTTTCCTGGTCCCTTTTTCGCTTACAGTCAGACAGAGTTATCGGTACCGAGAGAGATAAATAATGATCTGGCACCTTCAGATCAGCAGCTCTTTTCTTGTTTGAGATGGTAGACTCAAGTGATAACTTCTGGCTAATGCCATGTGATCTTTTATGGCTAGGATTAAACTCCTGAGCAGCATGGTTTGGTTCCTGGTTCAATCCTTGAACTTCCACCTTCAATCAAAAGAAGCAAGGAATCAAGTAAAAAGAAACCATAAAAAAAATAAAGCAAATAAATGCTAATAGCCTAATACCGGCGTTGAATCTGGTTTAGATTCAGTGCATTGATTGCTGCAACTGCTTTCTCCAGCTCCAGCCGTGGCAAATTTCTCAGTCATTGATCGTGCTTTATAATCAAAAGCTTGTCTATTATATTTGTATTCCCTACTCTGCAGATTCATCAACATATCAAAAGCAAAGGGGAAACAAACAAAAACAAATCAATTTATCAGCCAAACCCAATTCATCTTGAGAGAAAGTGTACTTACTGCTTCACACATTAGACCGTCATCGGGATTTGGTTCACTGAGCAATAGCCTAATACTTGTAAGCACTGTTGAAATGTTCAACGACGGTTGCCATGCCCCCTTCACAGCCAAGAGAACCATACTCATCATGACATATCTTTTAAGAAACAAAACTTACATTTTGGAAGTGAAATAGAAGAAAAATCAATGAGGAAAACATCGTTTTTAGTATAAACTTTATGGCATCATCCTACGTTACCCCAACTCTTATTTTGCTTGGTTTACCTTTATCCAACATCCGTGTGAAGATATGATCTTCTAATAATCTTTCAAATATATAATATAATTTGAAAAGATATAGCATGTAAAAACCCTTATAATATTATTTATATATAGAGATAAGATCCAATTATATTGTGTAAAACTAAAATTAGAATGATTAAACTAATAAAAATTAATGACTAAGATTAAAAATTAGAAATGATAATATCCACTGTCCCCTCACCTTGAACTAACAAATAGAGCTACATGATGTAAGTGACAATTTCCTAAACTAGCATGGAGCCTAAATATACGAATAGTCATATCAAGTGAATGTTACAATGTCTTCTAGGATAAATATCTAAAGATGATTCATGGCATGGGAGCCATGTATTACACTCTTGAAAGTCACGAGTTTAAAATAACTTCTCATAGACCCTAAAAATATCCAATCCAAAAGTTTTTGATGCATTTGAAAATTAGAATCATATACGTATAATATCTATTTTAAGTATAGAAATGGTTAAATTATTAAAAGTAACATAATTCTATGATCAAGTAGATCTGGGCTAAATCATTGATAATAAATTAAACTTATTTGGAAGGTGCCCCTTTCTAAATGGCCTAAGATATAACGATCTAGTCAATAAGTTGTGTCATTTGATCCTAAATCAGCATATACATATATATATATATATATATATATATATATATATATATATATATGACATAAACCCTTTTAAGTGGGACCAAAGCAAATATATATAAGGTACTGAACAAAGGTAACCTTGGGTGGAAGATTGAGGATATCAAGGCAAATTCGACCTCCGTTATCGATGTTCGGGTGATAAATAGGCGTCGCAAAGGTCACAATCGGAGGCTGAAGCGGATACCTTCAAGTGAAAAAAAAAGGAAAAAAGAAAAGAAAACAAACCAATAATCCCTTCTTTTAAAACGTGAAAGAATAACATAAATTCATTCTGAATCTTAGCCATACCTTTCAGGTATCTGAATCTTAATCTTGAAGATTCCTTTGCTGTATACAGTTTCGTCAGGACCTTCTATTTCTGAAGAGGAAAAAAAAACATCAGTATTTTGTATTTCGATGAATTGATCAGAAAACAAAAACTATTTGAAACGCTGTTGGTGTAAATTAAAGGAGAAAGAACTCGCGGGCGTCGATGGAGGAGAGATCGGTGATATCAGATTGAGAGGATAGAAAGGGGAAGGAAGCGCCGTGAGGAGGGTCGTCGAGGAGAAGCTTGAGCTCCTTTTGCATTCGCAGTTTAAGCCTTGCTTCTTGCGCCATTTTGGTCTGCTAAATCTGCTTTTGAGATTTTGGTTTGGATCCGTATCGGCCTTCAGCTTAAGAAATCAAAATTTTGAGCGGGCGGGAGAAACCTTTTCATGCGTGTTTCATTTTCGGGTTTCAACCTTAAATCTCCCTCGTAAAAAAAGTCTAAACAAAAAAAAATCGCGGGTAAATTGTGCATTTAGTACAAAAAATATCAGTTTTATTCTTTTAAAATACCAAAATTTTCAATTTTTCATCCTAATGTTTAGTTTTGGTTTCATTTTAGTACAAATTTAACATTAATCCAAATTCAATAATTCATTATTCAATTATAAGTTTTAACATAATACTCTACCTTTCTAACATTTGCATATTAATCCTTCAACTTCATGTAATTGCAAAAAGGTTCTTAACAACTTAACCAAATTCCAATTAATCCTTTCAAGTCATTCTAATATGCATTTATCATTATAATTTACTTAAACTTTTTACATTATGTTATATTCAATTTCTATTTTAACCCATAATTTATCCATATTTATAATTTAGTCATTAAACTTATACTTATTTCCAAACCAGTCCCAATTAACATCAGTATCACTATTTTATTATTTAAACTTTAAGTTCTTTTATATTTCTATTTATTCAGTGACTTTCAAACTCACAACATCAACCCAAAAATCAACATTCCAACATTAAATCAACATTTTAATATTCAATTCCAATATGTTGCTTAAAATTCTTAACAATTACACAATTGCCAGTTAAATTCTCATCTTTTTCCATTATTATGATTTAGCCATTATACTCTTACAATCTTCCAAATTCGATTTCAAATTCATAATCTTACCATAGGATAAATTATTATAAAATTCATCTCAACTTTTATATTTTAATTCAATATAATCATTTTTATCATTTAATCCCAAATTCAATCATGAATTCATCCTCTAAACAGCATTTCCAAAAAATTCTCATAATTTCATATGTTAAATGTCATAATTATCATACTAAGATAATAGAGTTGGCTCATTTCAAATAATTAATATAGTATATAACATAAGTGTATCATGAAATGCATAATTTACCTCAATTTCATATTATGGTAGTTTACACTCCCCTCAAAGAAATATTATTTTGTATTAATCTAGGCACTGAAAAAGTATTCCGTTTGTACCCTTAAAAACTATACTCGAATATGAATCTAATCATATAAGACACTTCTTATATTTCAACTTGTACAATTTATGATGAATTTTCTAATTTCATTTACAAAATATGTTTTGAGCAAAATCTGTTGTCCAAATTTATGAGCTATCATCGGTTAAAATTTCATATTTTGTATAAACTTCTAAATTAATAATCGTTTTTTTAAACAAAACTTTATTGATTTACAAATCCAACGGTATAAAAATCATATTTTAATCATTCTAGTATAGTTTATGGTGATTTTATAAACTTATTGTTCAGATTATCAATTTAGGCATATTTCACTAATTTACATCACTAGCCTATTCACTAATTTTATTAGCTTATAAAATGAACACACATGCGTGAATTTAAATTCCTATCATCTTAACCAAATTCATCTTTAAACATTTTCAAATTATTTTAATGATTATTCGATCTTAAAAACAACTTTATTAACATAAAAGTCTATTTTTAAATTATCAAAATCCAACTTGCTCATTATCTACTCTAACAACCAAATCATTGATTCAAGCATAAAAACCATGTAATATACATGACAAGTGATAGAGAAATTGATATAAATAAATTTTCTAGCTCATACCTTAATCCAAAAATCAAAGGAAAATGGCTAAAAATAAATAAAAGAAAGAAAACCTGCATTTTCCTTTTCATTTCATGGTTCACGACATATATAGGAAGAATAAGGTAAATTTCTAGAAAAATCTCCTAAAATATCTATGTATACTAGTATAAATTATAATTAAAATTAATTTTTAAATTAATTTTAGTTCAAAAGTCATTTCTACCCTTCATGAATCAAGCTATCTACCATTTTACCATGTTTTCATCACCATATATACATCATCATATCAATATAAAAATCATATTTATTGATTTCCAGCCAAAATTTTAATTTAGTCACTTAATTTTTATTATTCAACTTTAACATGGAAAATTCACTTAATTCTATTGTTCCATGTTAAATTATAATGATTAAAAATAAAAATAAAATATTTCTAACTCATACTTCCATCCTTCACATTTTTGTAAATTTCTGATTCGATCCGATTATCCAAATACTTTACCGAACTTTATCACTTATTATTTACACCAACTTCGGATAGAAATATGAATTTCATAGGGAATATATTCTTAAAGATGAACTATTTATTTATAGAATAATTTTTTTTTAAATAGCTCTTTGATCATTAAGCTTTTCCACTTTCTATTTTGACAACTAAACTTTTAAAGATTTTATTTTAGTCACTAATCAAATTTTTGGGCTATTTCACCGTTAGTATTTCTTTATTATCTTTTTCCTTTCTTATATCAAATATTTTTTTAAAATTTTAATAAGTCTTCCTCTATGATACGTTTTCATATGCATTTACATATTTCTTTTGTCTTTTGGTATATTTTTAGGTCGTTTGATCGTTTTTCATTTATCTTTTTCTAAGAATTGATTTAACATCTCCACAAAATGATCAAGATGACTCTTATCTAATATGTTGTTGATCTTCAATGCTTTGGACGCGTAGAGTGGATTTGGATACTCGTTCTGCATTTGTGGATAACTTTTCATGTTGCTCGAGTCTGATTTGTAATTTTGTCGATGATATTTCAATATCTTGATCCCCTTTTGTGGTTAGTTATTCGATGCGATCAGATCTATTTGTATCTATATTTCTTTTAGTTTATTTGTTGGATTTTTAATATTTCCTTGTATGGTACTTATGAACTTAAGTTGCTATTTTTGTTTGAATAATTATAGAAAATTATCATAATTAGATGCTTAATTTACTATATGATTATAAAATTTATTGTAATTTGAGATATTTGTTATTTTAAATAAAATTAGTTGCTTTCGTTAAAAAAAGAAAAAAAAACAAAGCAAGGACCTCTCATTTGACACTTCACCCATCCAGCAAGGCACAACTTCGGCCGCTCTTTGTCCACCACTGCCAGCCTTCATGGACAAAACAAAGCGCTCGACCCACCTTGAGGGTGCATTTGGTTCACGGAATATAAGATTACCAGCGATAATAGGATTACTGGGAATGTTATATTTTGTGTTTGATTCGTTTAGCAGAAATATAAGATTACAGTGTTTGGTTAAAGGAATAAAAGATTATTGAAATGTATATTTTATCAAATTGTCCTTATTATATATTTGTTTTTAACAAGTTGAATTCTACTATAATTTTACTATAATTAATTTATATATATTTTTTAAAAAATTTAAATTCATAAAATTTATATAGTTTTTTTTACAAAATTGAAAAAATAAATAAGTTTAATGAAATGGTAATCTTTTATTTTAACCCTGAACTTCATATAAGATTCTAATTATGGATTTTTTTTGTAAATCTAAAATAGTTTAAGGGTAAATTTATAATTTAACTTTCGTATAATTTTTTTATTCAACGATAAAATAAGGATATTTTTGAATAATTTTTTTTAAGAGCATTTTAGTCTAAAACGTCGGTAATCCAATAATACCTAAGGAAACGAGTAATCACATTCCCGATAATATACCCCAAAATACCACTGTTGAAAATAAAAGATTACCGAGAGCTGGGAATGTTGGCAACCAAACGGGAGAATGATTTTGTAACATCCCAAAATACGAGTTAGTGATTAAATTGTAAAGTTTCAAAATTTGGTGATTAAAGTATGATGATTGAATAGTTCAATGATTTGTTCGAAAATATTTCCTAAAAGTTTATAGTAATTATCCAAAGAATTAAATGGCAAAATGGTCATTTAGCATGAAAGATATTCCCTCCCCCCCAATAATATGAATGAATCACGTGGGGGTGGGGGAAAAAGTTATCTGAAAACTCTTTCTTCTTCCTTTCTTCTTCTCCCAACCGTGGAAGCTAGGCAAAGGTAAGTGTTTTTTCGATTTGTTGATTATTTGTTAAATTAAAGGTTAGGTTTTGATCATTAGATGATAACTAAGCTTAAGGAAAACTTAAGTTGTCTTATAATCAAAAGATGAAGAAGTTATAATAGATTTAAGAAAACGAGTTTTTATATGAAATAATGGAAAAGAGTTGATAAGTTGAATTTGAAGTTAAATTTGACTTGTCATCATGCTAATTAGGGAATATGAAGTATTAGAATTGTATTTAGAACATATTGAAATTTGAGTATGATTCTTGAATTACATATGAAGGATAGAATTTTGAGGTTATGGATGGTTTTCATGGATATAAGTTGGTTTAAGTAATGATAGTTGAGTTTAATGACATGATAGGGGTTTAAGGATACAATTGATGGAATTTGGTTCAATAATCTGGCTTAAGTTGTTAACGTCAAGGTTAAGGTTTAGGCTTCTGATAGTTGTTTTGAAATGTTATATTTATGTAGATATTGAGCCTAAACAAGTTCTGGAATAATCAAAAGATTAGAATTAATTCAAATCAAACAAGGCTAAGGTGAGTGCAATTTTAATTGTACTTATATTATTGAACGAACATTGGCTTGCGATGAGTCAGTGATGGAGTTACTATGGTAAGAAGTGACTCCTAAAATGTTATTTGATTGGTGATTCTTATATGTGCATGAATACATGAAATGAGTATAGGTTATTATATATGTTACATAATATGCATATGTGATATATGCTATGAGACATGACCAATATGAAATGAGATAAGCTATGTGACTATATGAAATGATATATGAATATGCAATACGTGATACATGTGATATGATATGAAATGACATATGAATTTGTAATACGTGATACATGTGATATGATATGAAATACATGGTTACACATACATGTGGTATGTGATAGAAGAGAAAGAACAAGTGATGAGAAATGTATTCATAATAAATGCCCATAGTATATGATACGAGAGTTATAGGTATAGTTGGCATGCCAAGAGTCTAGGGTTACATATGTCCTATAAGACATATGATAGGTCTTACGAGACACAGATTACATCCTTCGGGATGAGAGGTCCTTCGGGACACAGATGACATCATTCGGGATGATAGGTCCTTCGGGACATTTATACGAGCTGTGGTGACAGCATATGTGTGCACAACCTCAGTGTACTCACATACCTTTATTCTCAATAACATACATGGGCAATACAATTGAAAGATAAATTAAAGTGAAAGTGGCACAAGAAGGTAAGTTTTACATATGCATGACATGCTTATATATGTTATCGTGTAATAGATACATGCATGTTGAAATGTCATGATCAAAGGATAAGAATGCACATTCATGAATTTGTTGTTAAATGTTTATTTATTACCTCACTAAGTCTATGACTTAGCGTGTAAGTGATTTACACGTAGGTACCAAGAAACGATAAGAGCAAGAATAAAAGTGGCAAGGACAGTATTATTACTAGAAGATCAGATCAGAAGTAATCAACAAAGTATATATTTTGGTGTGTATAGAGTGTTGGCATGTAATAAGTCGTTAATTACGAGTACTCTGATGGAGTTTGTATTTTGTGGTAATTTTTATGTAAATTAACGTATTTTGCTTTAAACAAAGTTTTTAATTTCTCTGTTTTTCAAAAAGAGTCAAAGTTTGAAAAGTCAATGTGACACCTCGGACTTGTATTCGGGTCGGGTACGGGTTGGGGTGTTACAGATATTTCATTCCTCTTGTAATGTGAGATGACTTGAACCAAACACCCCATAGTGATTACACACTTATTCATGAACGCCTATCTACGGTTTATATAATGAGAAAATAACTTCAGTGACCGAAAATACCTTATAATATACGATTTTAACCATTTTTTTGGATTTGCGAAAATGACAAACAAATTCGCAACGCGATCTCAAATTTGCAACGCGAACTCCAATTTCGCAACACAGGTTCCAAAATTGCAACGCGAAAGTGAAATTTGCAACGCTAATTACCGATATAGGTAATTAGCATTGCAAAAACGAAATTCGCGTTGCGAATTTCTTTTTCGCAACTCGATTTTCGCAACGCTACCTATATAGGTAATTAGCGTTGCGAAATTCGAGTTGCGAATTTAGAGAATTCACGTTGCGAATTTGACTTCCACGTTGCGAATTTGACTTTCGCGTTGCGATTTTGACTTTCGCATTGCGAAATTGGAGTTCGCGTTGCGAATTTGAGATCGCGTTGCGAATTTGTTGGTCATTTTCGCAAATCAAATTTTTTTATAGTTAAAATCGTATATTATAAGGCATATTCGGTCATAAAGTTATTTTCTCTTATATAATAATATCTGAAAACAGGGTAAACTACACTAATAGTCTATGAACTTTTAAATCCCTTATATTTCAGCTACTAAACTTTTAACATTTGTATTATAATAACTAGATTTTTAATTTTATTTTCATCATGATTAATGTAATCAAGTACTATTAACAACAACTCACATTATGTATCATCATCTCATTAATGAAATATAATAGAAATATGATATACACTTGATAAGAATCAAATCAAGTTTTATGGAGAAGGAATTAAGTACTACCAGGGTAAGTTAGAATATTAATATGATTAATGAACTTTATTTACAATTTATATTATAAAATTAAAAGATTAATGAATAAAAAAATAAAAATAATAGCAAAAATAAATAAATTATAAAATATAGAATATTTTATATAATAAATTATAACATCAATTAAAATATGTTTAGAATAATTTTATAATTTCATAAGAAGATTAAAATTTATTTTTTGTATTTTAATTTTATAATATAAGTTATAAATAATATTTATAAAAATAATATAACATATGGGCATGAAACATCAATGGATTAAAAGTTTAGTGAATATAATACAAGTTTTAGAAGTTTTATGATCAAAATGTAAGTATTTTAAGAAGTATGAGACCATGAATGTAGTTTACCCTTAGAATAAAAAAATCCGAAACAAAAGCGAGCCAAAAAAAGATCCTGCCTGTTCCACACGCGTGGACCCATGCCACTCGTCCTCTCATCTATCGTATCCCATACTCGCCGCTCCTCCTCGAGAGAGGCGCCGCTTAAAATTTTAAAAATATTCAAATCTAGATAGGAAGTACTGTTGACTTGAAATTTAAAAAAAGAAAAAGAAGACGAAGAAGGAAAGCTTCAAAACAATCCATCATCACTTACATTTCACCTGTTCGTCTCTACTCTCCCGTTAGCTTTACCTCTTTCTCTCTTCATATTCTTTGTTTCTTCTCTGTTGCCTTTTGGGTTTTCTATCGTAAAACTTTTTTATTTTTGGATAATTTATCGTAAAGCTTTAGTTGTAGAAGCTTTTGCGGAGTTATTGTACGGCCGGCGAGAGAGAATGAACGTTGTAGGGAGACAGATGACGCGATCTGATTCGACGGCGAATCATCAACGTCAATACTCCGATAACTTCCTCGACGCTTCGTTTGACAGTGACTGGCTTCAGTCCTCCAATTGTCCTTCCTCTCACGTCTTAAGTCTTTCCTGGCTCTCATTTACATTTTGTTTTCACGTATCAAAGGCGTTTTTCTCATTTATTGTTATTATCATTGTTTTTTTTTCTGTTTGGTTAGGAATTCGGATTCTATGGCGGAGGAAGAATGAACCGGAAGTCGCCGGAGCCAGGGACGACACCGATTTGTTCGAGGAAGAACAACGACGAATACGTGTTGCCCAGTGATTTTAGCCCTGGTTTACTTGATCTGCATTCATTTGATACTGAGCTGCTTCCAGAGGTTTTACTCTATTTCTTCAATTAGATTAAAATTTTCCAGTTTTATTCTCACGCATGAATGCTAGATTTAGCTCGCGTTTAAATAAAAATATTAAATGCCAATTAATGATAAGTTTTGTTCTATGGTGAACTGGTGATATTCGACGAAATTCTCTGGTAAATCAAGTGATTCGATCGATAATTATATCGATGCATTTTGTTTTTTATAGTATATCTTGAACGTGGCGGACCGACAAAATTGGTTTTTGTTAATAATTGGTGGCATTGAATATTTCACCATTTGTTGAAAACTGCTTTTCTTTAGTGGATAATAAGTTTATCAGTGCCTTTTGTCCCCACTGGTTGCAGGTTCCTAGTGTATACGAAGGATACGAGCTTCAGAAACCTGTTCGTGGTAAAAGTTTTGATGATTCTGAACGGTATATAGCTACCGACAAACTTCCGAACATGCCGCGCGGAAATGCTGAAAGTAAAGTTCTTGAAAGCATCTCACTAGATAGAGAAAGAGCTAATAGTGTTGCCAAGATTAAAGTTGTGGTATGCTACTTGAATGCTTTCGTTGGTTTTATGTATCGCACAATATAAATTTCATTGTTTTGAATGGTTATTATAGTGGATTGATCCATCAGGTATTTAGTTGTGCCAAGAAATAGGATGATCTGTTTGATTTTGAGGACCTTAATATCATCTGCGTGATGAATTAATGATCCCAACAAATGTTAAAGTTCTAAGGACAACTGAATCATTTGGTTTAGACATACAGATCCATGCTTTTCACAGGCTATCAATGTTAGCGATATATGCTATAGATTATGAAAATCTTTACCTCTGACTAATTGTAAATGCCGTATGGTAGAAAATATAGACTGTTGAAGTTGGCAATGAAAACCATATACTCTTACTAGCTTTTGTCTTATAATTTTTAAAATTGCTCATAACAACTTCCATTGCAGGTGCGCAAGAGACCATTGAACAAAAAGGAAATATCAAAGAAAGAGGAAGATATTATCACTATAGGGTCAAATTCCAATGCACTAGTGGTTCATGAAAAAAAACTAAAGGTGAGCTTTTTTAATAGGGTTTCCCTTTTTCCCCTTCAGTTGTATTTTGATGTAAATATCTGGGTTTATTTCCTGGTGCAGTTACTAAATTTAGCCGCCATGGGCTGTTATAGGATTTTCAATAGATTGCCATTTAAAATTTGAACAATAGAAAGTTAATTGCTATTTGCCTTGATTTTTTCATGGAAAATCCAGAGTGACTTTAAAGCCTTAGTTATTGATGATAATCATCGCCATCTGTAACACTTTACATCTTTTTCATTTTGGTGCCATGCTGAAGGAAGATGTAGTCTTCCTTGGGTTATTATACATATGACCTAGTAGCAATCTTTTGCATGGTCGTTAATGATTGATACCTGCAGGTTGACCTGACAGAATATGTTGAGAAGCATGAATTTCTTTTTGATGCCATACTGAATGAAGCTGTTAGCAATGACGAAGTGAGTATATGACAGGAAGTGTATAACCTTTAGTGTGTCATCGAGCTAATTTGACTAGATTTAATTTTCTATTGCTGTAGGTATACTCTGAGACCGTGGAGCCAATGGTACCACTGATCTTCAATCGAACAAAAGCAACTTGTTTTGCATATGGGCAAACAGGTAATTGACAAAGACAGTAGAATAAAATTCCGTAGAATAAATCTTATTGTGAACTTGCCATTATTTTTAAGCCGAGTGCCAGCTACTTTAATGTTTTTTCCCCTTGAATGCTGATCTTTAAATATCTGTAGTTTTATATGCTCTTTATGCTAGATTTTGACAAAGACAGTAGAATCGGAAAAAAGGTCAAAGTAGAATTTTGGTTTTTTTGTGGACAGGGAGAATATGGAGTAAACATACATACTACTCGATCTGGTTTTAGGAGTTTGAAGTATTAGAGTTTATTTATTAGTCACACTCACATTCTCTATTTTCTAGTACTCTCATAGTAACCAATTTGCCGGGTGTATTAGTTAATTATTATGCTATAAATTCCTGAATGCACCTTGATAAGTTTTTCCATGGTTAAGCATAGCTGTCTCGTTTCCTTTGTCCTTTATCTTTATGAGCTACAATCTGTTCACCTGGTCCTTTTTTATTTGCATTTGGCGTTTGCCCTTTACTAATAACGAATAACTCTTGGATTCTATGACTAGTAATTATGCTTTGGTGTCTTGAGCTATGGTTTTTTTTGGTCTCTGTATATTGTGTTTGAGTCATCACATAAGCTGCATTAAAACATAAACAGAAAGCACTAGAGCTATCATTTGGATGAATGTGTATGTATGCATATGGGAAGGGCTGTTTCAAATTATGAAATTTCTTAATTAGTTCAAACTTTCACCATCAAATGTGTATTTTTTATGGATTCAAATACACCTTGTATAGCCATTTTGGTCTCTGTTGAAATCTTTAGTTGATCTTATGTTTTCTTCACAGGAAGTGGAAAGACGTATACCATGCAGCCACTGCCTCTAAAAGCATCTCAAGATATTTTAAGATTAATGTACCATACATACCGGAACCATGGCTTCCAACTCTTTGTCAGTTTCTTTGAGATTTATGGAGGAAAAGTCTTTGATCTCCTTAATGATCGGAAGTAAGTTATTTCCAAATAGAAACCTTTACAGATTGCCACCGAGTTTGTAGTTCTCTGATTAGATTTGATTCTTTTGGCAGAAAGCTGTGCATGAGAGAAGATGGGAAACAACAGGTCTGTATTGTGGGCCTACAAGAGTACAAGGCATTAGATGTTCAAAAAATCAAGGAATTAATCGAGAGAGGAAATGCAACAAGAAGCACTGGCACTACTGGTGCAAATGAGGAATCCTCGAGGTCACATGGTATTCTTCAGCTTGCCATCAAGGGATCAGCTGATGGCAGTGAAAATAAGCCTGCTAGACTTGTAGGGAAGCTCTCCTTCATAGATCTTGCTGGAAGTGAGCGTGGTGCAGATACAACTGATAACGACAAAAAGACGAGGTATTTTGTTTTAGATAAGGGATTTTACTTCTTCAAAGAAACGAGTAATTGCTTAGGCATATTATGGAGTTGTAGAGCCACTGAACTAGATTATCAAATCATGGATGCTCTGAGTACCATTATATAGAATGCGTTGTTCATGTCATAACATGCTGATTTTGTATTTCTGCAGAATGGAAGGTGCTGAAATAAATAAAAGTTTACTTGCTTTAAAAGAATGCATCAGAGCTCTCGACAATGACCAAGGTCACATTCCTTTCAGAGGAAGTAAGCTGACTGAAGTTCTTAGAGATTCATTTGTTGGCGACTCTCGTACTGTTATGATATCGTGTATTTCACCGAGTTCAGGATCATGTGAACATACCCTGAATACACTCAGATATGCTGATAGGTATGCGGTTCGGTTCTGTAATTAAAGTTTAAAATTGTACCACAGAAGTTACGCATTTTTATTTCATAATAATACGGCTACCTGCATTCCAGGGTGAAGAGCCTATTGAAAGGGAACAACTCCAAGAAAGAAACAGTATCTTCATCTTCAAATCTGAGGAAGTCAACTGCATTGCCCTTGGCTTCATATTTTCCAGCAGAAACATTCGAGGATAATATAACCGATGTTCGTTCCGAGAACAGATTTGGGTGGTCAAAGCAGATTCAAAGAGACCCATCTTCTAAAGTGGATCGTGTTCCTAGTGCAAGGACAGAAGGAAATTCGGCCGTACCGTATTCAGATCATTTCAAAGGTCAGAGAGGTGATCTAAATAGCATGGCCGAGGATGATTTTGATGACTATGAGGAGACATATGAACAGCCAAAGATGTTGCAGAAGACCGTTGTCGATCCTTCAACCTTCGATGGCAACAATTCTCATTCAGACGATGATTTGAGTGCTCTATTGAAGGTAAACATCAATCAAAATGTGGACATCTTATTTCAATTTTCCCACTTAATCATTAAACATAATCAATCTTGCTTGTCACTAGGAAGAGGAAGATCTCGTATCTTCCCATCGGAGGCAAGTCGAGGACACAATGGAGATTGTTAGGAAGGTAAACGAGATTCCGGCTGTCACTCGTTCTATCGTCTGCTATGATTACCCTTGTTTTGATCGCTATTATTATGCCTGTAGGAAATGAATCTGCTAGTCGAAGCCGACCAGCCAGGCAATCAGCTGGACGACTACATCTCTAAGCTAAACACCATTCTTTCCCAGAAGGCTGCAGGAATTTTACAACTGCAGACTCGGCTGGCCCAGTTTCAAAAGCGATTAAACGAGTACAATGTCTTGGTATCTTCTGGAAATTGACTTTACCTGCAGAAAAGGGCTAATGAAACATACAGATTACAGTGTGGACTTATAGTCGTGTGGATTCAGGCCGGCATTTGGTTTGATGAGTTCTTCCTTAACGGGTAAGGAATTTTTATTTCTTCCTTCATTTTTTGAGGCTTTAAAGTAACTGGCGTTACATTTGAATTTTATACCACCATAGAAATATAAGATCTATGCATTGAAGTGGTTGAATCTCGAGGGTGTTCAATCAGTTAATCCAATTAGTGGTTGAACTGAATTAGTCAAAATTAAATTATCAGTATTATAGAATGAAAATTGATGATTTGATTAATTGAATTGGTCGACTTAGGGGTTAATATCTTTATAAATTTGATTATTAATCCTATTCTTATAATATTAGAGATTATTATATATATATAAGGATTGATGTTTTGATTCGATTTTGATTGATTTTGAATTCGTTTCGGTGTGAGAGTAATAGTATAATTTATCTTTTGTATTTAGGGATAATTACTATAATATCTTTTTTATCTATTTTTTTTCAATTAGATCCATATTTACTTAATAAAAATGAATATTATATATATTTATATCGGATTGGATCCGTTTGAGTATAATTTTTCCCTTTAAAAATCAAATAGAATTATGGTTCAGATGAAATTTCTCAAAACTTAGATCAAGTTGAATGACGTATAAACGATTATTATATTCAAATCGAATTTTTCTTGTTCAAGTGCATCTCCATTCTTTTTAAAAATGGTTAAATTTAGTCTAATGTGTTAAAGAAAAAAGAAAAAATTTATATACCCATTATTTTTAGAAAATTAAAATTAAAATTTTAGATCATATTTTGATATTTCTAGATCCGTCGGTGTTCAACATGTGAACCATTCCTCATTGTTGGTCAACACAATACAAAATGATAATCATTTTAATATTAGTGATTTATTTACTTTTACGATATTATGGTTGTATATGTGAAAAATATCACAAATATTTAGGTTTTGAAATTGAAATATATTTACTTTTAATATATTTCGTATTCATTTTATTATTAATTATGTATTATATGTTAATAAACTCACAATCATGAATCATTGGCATAACTTTCGACTTAACCCATTAATTCAATGAATTAAATAATTAATTTTCCATTTCAATTTAATTTTAAATACCATAATTAAAATTTAAAAATTTAAAAATATCTAAATTTACTATATTTAGTGAAATATGAAAATGAAACTAATAAATAAGATTTAAATTTTTTAAGATGGGAAAGGCCTACGGGCCTTGGTGCTTGCAATTTGCACATCCAATCATTTTCACTTTTTTATGACACCCAATATCAGAAAAGAAAAAGAAATTTTTTTTATATAAAAATAAGTTTTTAAATTATACTTAAAATTATTTTTATTAAAATTAAATAACTAACATTTTTCGGTATAATTTCATGTGTCTGCTAAAAAAATCATTAAGTAATACATGTTATATTTAGAATTTTTTAAAAGTTATTTTAAATAATACCTTTTAAAAAGTCTAAAAAAATATAAACACGATATATGTCACTTAACGTTAGACACATAAAAATATAACGAAAAAATTAGACATATTTTTAATGAAAAAATTTTAAGCATCAAACGTTGATTTTTAGGCTAATTTAGACACTTGTATTTGTATTAAACCAAAAAAAAAACTCAGCCAAAAGCGGCTCTAATGACGGAAAATACGCGTTTTTATCTAAATATTATCACACAATTCGTCTTTCTTCTCTCATATTTTTTTAGGATATTAATTCTAAGGTTTAGTATTTAAAGTTTAGGGTTAATATGTCATGAGTTATCAAAAAGTGTTAAGTGCAGTGATGAGACTCGTTGAATTCACAATTTCTTTTTATAAATAAAGGTCACTACTTTTATTAAAAATATGAAATATCTAGAATTATAACGAGGTTTACAATTATTAAACATTAACACATATATGATCGTATAACGAACTACAAAAGGGAATCAAGTTATTGAAAACCCACTTACAAATTGCTATTCAGAGTCGATTGACATGAGAAAACTACCATGAAAGCCAATTGTGTATCCTAATCCAATCCAAGAGTCCTAACAAATAAATGTTATCTTGGTCAATTGTAATAATATCAAATCTAACACTGATAGGAAGAAAAAACCGAAAAAGTCAAATGTCCCTAGTTTTCTCGTCAATACCTGGATGACTATGATTATATATTGGGTTCCTTTAAACATTTAGAGTTTGATCTTATAATATCTCTAGGCAACCCAACTTCTAAAAGAGTATAAAGTGTGGGACAATGTCCCTTAACAATCTCCCTGGCCAAATCTTTGCACTGACATAACAACTAAGTATTCACGTACGTATAGTTATGTCGTGCGTATATAGGTGTATACACTTTAATACGTAGATGAAAGGGCCAAGACATGCAGACTGCTGGCGAAGAAGAATTATAGCAGATCATGACTCGTCAGGAGCATTAGGCAAGTGCATGGCGACTTTATGTTTATAAAAAGTGATAGTCTGCACTTTCCTCTTAGCAAAATCTTTTTTTTTTCTGTACTGCCATGTGATCTTCCAGCTCTTGCTCGTGCCCATATACATGGTTTAGGCATGGCCAAGCAGCCAACCAAATTAGCTAGCATTAATATTAATATAAAATCTTACGTTCGTTTATGATTACGTTTGGTTTGATCATCATTATAGTCACCTTTTGTATATTTTTAACGCAAACTTGTCCTTGTTACTTTATTGTTGGGATCTCATGTAGGATCCTAGTCGAATCTGCAGGGAAAAGAAAGCTACTAATTATAAAGAACAGAATCCTCTGCAACATTTCGGATTCCATGTCTTAAAGGTTTCCATTTCCAACTTTAGTTTGGGTTTTCATTTCCCAGAAATGGGAATTTGAGAATGGGATCCACCTAAAGGGTGAGTGGGATAAATTTTCAATTACTCCTTTTTTTTTTTCCTTCTCTTCAACCTGCCAATTGTTGGACATTTTAGCAAAGATTCACATGCTACTGAGGTATTCATGACCATCCGTCATGCTTATGAAGTGAGAATTTCTTTATCCTCGTTATCTCCTGATTCATTACTTTCTGAATTTTTGTGCAAATACAAGCTTGACACAATCTTTGTAGCTTCCATTGTTCCATTCTGCATTTTTCATTTTTGGGCTGTTATTATGTTCCCAAATCAATGACTGATATTCTGGAGCATTTTCACTTCCGAACAGGTATTATCTAATGAAGTAACAAGGATTCGGTACGATCGTGCACTTACATGTCAAGAGGATGTTGGGAGGTCTTACAAAGGAAAATGGAACCATAGTCCTAATTTTGAAGACGGGGTTAGGCTCCATAGGTGGAAAAATGCAAGAAGAAAGATCCCGAAAACGAAGGGTGTTCTTTCTTTTACGAAGAAACCGATGACGAGGATGAAAAAGAAAACCTGCTACAAGAGAGGGGATCTTTTATAGTTTGGATCTCGGTTTTCTCTTACCTTCAGAAGCCTAATGGCTCTCCTAGATAAGAAGTTGGATGCCGGATATAAGATTGGTTACGTAATCGCCTGGGTTTCGGGTGGGAGAGGCGGTGTTTTGCTGACTTTATGTCCTTCGTTTGCATGTTGGGTTTGCGGAAAAAGCAGCGGGTTGAAGAAAGGAAAAAAAAGGAGTAATTGAAAATTTATCCCTAAACTGTTTTTGATTTACAAAAAGACCCATTTTTAATATTTTGCTTAAAGTTCAGGAGTTAAAATAAAATTTAACATTTTTATTAATGAGTCAAGTCATCAATGGTTTAACGTCCGTTTATATTAATTGACCACGTCTTGACTAAAATAAAACAAAAGTGACTACATGTTAATTTTTTTAAAACGAGTGATCATACGTTTAAAAAAATGAAACAATACTCACATGAAAAACTCAAGGTAGTTGTTTTCTTATTGGAAACGAGGGCATATATGCATCACCATTTACTAAATGACAATTACATATGCCAAAATAAAGAAGTTTGAGTTATATTTTGGGATTTACTATAATGAAAGGCGTCATATGGAGGTGTCGAATTTCGAAAATATTTTTTTTTTAAACTCGTCACGTGAACATAATAAATTTCAAAAAAAATATTTTTTTATTGAGATATGTCACATCTGGATAACAAGTTCTAATAAAAGATATCGTAAATTGCTCTCACATCTGGATAACAAGCTCCCATAAAAAATATCGTAAATTGCTAATTAATTTTTTAATCATCCTACAAACCTAAATAATTATTACACCAACGTTAAATGACTGATTTTGACATGTCATTTTCCCTCATTATTCCATTTCCATTATATGAAAACATCATAATTAATTTTTTTTTTAAAAATGGTGTACCACTTTCGGCATGGCCGAATGTAGAATTTTATGTTACGGGTGGTGAACTTATAAAATTTTAAGGGGCGAAAACAAATTTTTAATATAGAGTACAAAGAAAATATCTAAAATATATAGAAATTTAAAAATTTTAAGAGAGCGAAGCCCTAACTAATATAGACTGATCCGAATCGCACACTTGACTTTGGTGGACAAGTCTTCCAACGACGATTTTTTGCATACACAAAGACTCGAACTTGAGACTTACTTAAGCGATATTAAACTGCTTACCATTGAACCAACCTTATTCATCTTAAATTTTTTAATTTAATACCCTAATATAAACTCATGCATGGTCTTTAACTACTTCACATAAAAAGCATTAATCAATTGAACAAAATATACCGACATAAATCAAACATGTTTTGGGGCCATGATTGCTAACTGGGTCTCAATACTTAGGGCTTGTGATTTATTTTTTGTTTTGGGTTTGGTTTTAATTTTGAGTTTAATTTTGTTATTGGGATTTAAGAAGACTAAATGGCTTTGAAATCCAAATTTAGGCAGAATCTTCTTTTGAATTTATTTTTTATTTAATTTTAATGTATTTAATTTTAAAATATATTTTTATTCAATAAAAATAGTGACTTAATTGAAAAAAATTATATATAGAGGGTTATTATTGTAATTATCCATAAATATATAAGGTAAAATTATATATATTTTCGGGTCGGATCGAATTTTTTCCACCCTAAACCCGACCCGACCCGACCCGAATAGTGCATTAAAAAAACCCCGACCCGAATTCGATTTTTTTTATAAAAAAAATCCGACCTTATCGGATCGGGTCGGGTTCGGGTTGAGTTGCCATCCCTAGTTAGGGTGGTTCTCCCAGTTCAAGGTCAGGGTATACCTAAGACTTAATTGAAATTTATATAGTAATTAAAATTATTATTTAAGCTCAAATATAAAATTAATGAATTAGTAAATATAATTTACTTTTATATGTATATGTCAAATTTGATATAGATTTTTATCTTAAAAATCGAGTTAGATTTCAATTTAGGTGTAATTTCCCTAAATTCGAGTCGGATCAGATCACGAGCAGGGACAAACTATATAGTGTGGGATGGGGCACTTGCCCCTCCTAAAATTTTTAGTTTAATAGTATTTTAGGTCATTATCAGTTTAAATTTAAATGAAATTAAACTTTTGTCCCCCGAATTAATAGATTAAATATATAATAAAATCTTATTATTTTGAAATTATATACTTTATCCCTCCTAATATTTGATTAGCCAAGAGAAACTATAGTCGGATCGAGTTCGAGTGAACCAAAAACCTACTCCAACCTAACCCATTTCCAATTTACCATCCCTTCATGGGAACCAACAATTTCTCCGTTACGGCTCAACCAAACTGGTTGGTCATCGGAGCTTAATAGCAGGATGGAAATGGAGACTCAGCTTGCACCGTTACAGTCGAATGAAAACAGAACATAATCATTTCTCAAAGTTAAATCTCTTGTCCTGTCTCACAATCATGTCATATTTATAAATGGCATCATTCAGGGAAATTAAAGGTAAAAACACCACATGAAGATATACAAAAGTAATTAAGACAAACTTTAAATCTTGACCTGTCAGGGAAAGAAAGAATGGTTGCATCACGACCTTACTGATCGATACTTGGTCCTCGGTTCCACACTCGAAGAACCCAAGGCTCCGAAAATTTCCGCATATATCTCCATGAAAAATTTGTCGACGATTTCCAGATATGTAGGACAAGTGAGTCGAGAATAATAATAGAGAATCTCTTGAATGTCGATAACATGATCCACATTGCTCATGTCCATCATCTCCAGCTCCTTCAGTCTTCGAGCCATCAATGAACTCTCGTCTCTTCTTCTATCACTTGAACCCGAACCCTCTCGTGCTTTTCCCTTGTTCCCTTCCCTTGGAGCCGAAACAATCCTCGTGTTCCGGTTGATGTTGTTGGCATCCCACTTGTCTCGGGGACTCGTTTGTCGGTCCATGTCGAGGCCGGCAAACGAATGGGGATCGTAAGGAGAGGTCTTGGGAAGTTTACGGTAAGGCTCGGTGTCGGTGCCGGTGAACAAAGACTTGAAACTTCGTAAGGTTCTTTGAAAGAACCTTTTGGTGTTGGAAATGGGATTTCTAAGCAGCATTGGCTACCGATCACTAAAGGCTTCAAATGTGGGTGAAAATTTTACTTATTGTCCTTTGGTGAAGACATATAATGTGTGGGGGGGGGGGGGCTTAAAGGAGGGTATAAACATTATGAAAATTAAGACAAAAGGGTCCTTTATTTGCTTTGGGGCTTCCTTTTAACTTCATTCGTTGTCTTCACGTTAGGGTGCCCTTGGGATTTTGTTCTTTTGGTGACCAAGAGAGTGCACCACAAAGGGGCCTAGCTAATGATCATCAAAGGTTTTGTTTTTATGGAAGCTTTTGTGATGGTTTCTCGCTCATTAATATACTGATAATAGTAATTTAAGGAATTAGATAGGGTTGTTTATTGGGCTTTACTTTAGATGGTGGGAGTTGGTGTGGTGTTGGAGGAGGAAAGATGAGCGGCGGTTGTTGAATTAGAGCTCTCCGCCATTTTCTCCGCCCATCAATTCTAGAATTTATGATAAGTAGGGATGGTAATAACCCAAAATAGACCGGTTCCGACACGCCCCGTTTGATAAGGTCGATTTTTTTTAAATAAGGTTCGAGTTAGATCGGATCAAATTTTTTAACGAGTAAGGTAAAATCAAGTCAAATTCGGGTTGATTATGAAAAAACTCCAACCCGATCCGAGGATAGTAATGAAATTTCTTTAAATTTTATTATATTTTTAATGAAGTCTTTATTTTATATCAGGTAAAGTCAATTTGGGTCGAATTTATACTCTAAAAATTTAGGTAGGATTAGAGTCATGTATAAAGATATATTTTTCGAATCAAATCATACCGAATTGACCAAAAACCAAATCCTAACCTAATTCGTTGCGATCTCTAAATTCAACAAACTCTGATTTTTCGCCTATAATGAAGATGGTGATGGTTTAGTTTTGTCATTAGAATCAACGTTGGGTATAAATTGAGCAAACTCGTGTGACTATTAGATAAAAAAATCAGAATAAAAAATATTTAATACAAGTAAACATCGTTTATTCATTATCTTGTTTAAAGAGGTTAAATTATGATTTTAATCCCTCTATATATTCAAATTAAAATAGAGAAAATAACTTCAGAAAATAAATTCAGTGACCGAAAATGCCTTATAATATACGATTTTAACCAATTTTTTTTGGATTTGTGAAAAAGACCAACAAATTCGCAACACGATCTCGAATTCGCAACGCGAACTCCAATTTCGTAACACAGTTTCTAAATTCGCAACACTGAATTTCAAATTCGCAACTCGATTTCTGAAATCACAACGCGAATTTTGTTTTCGCAACTCAATTTTCGAATTCGCAACACGAATTTTAATTTCGCAACACAAATGTTTTGGGTATACAACTACGCAGCAACATCAACTCATAACCTAAATCCCTAAATCGCATTTTATTCCATCTCCATCTATCACTTTCTCTGGCGACATCCGTTCCTATATCCAACGACATCCTTCCCCGTCTCTAATTTTTTTTTTACATAATTTTATTTCTATATAATTTTCAATGATTTCACTCCCAAATTATCAACTATCAACTTAATAAAGGTATGTTTTTCTCTAAGTTAGTGATGATATGTAGTTTATAGCTCGTTTGTTTAGTAAATTAATTTACAATTTGTAGAATGAATAATGTTGATCATGTTTGGATAGATTTGTGTTTTGGAGGGTCATGGGAGAATGTTTGGATAGATTTGTGTTTAGTAAATTAATTTACAATATATGTCTTTACCCATGAATCTTCAACTAAAACTGTCATTAAAAAGTTAACTTATGAAACTCTAATGTTACGTGTTGCAAAGAAATTGAATTTAGAGCCTCGAAGTGGATTTAGGCTATCTTATCAGAGAAAAGGTAAAATTTATTTGTTAACCGACAATGAAGATGTTGTCGATTCATTACTACATTAGTGTTCGCAAGAAGATGATGTTACAATGTTGTTGAACCTAAAGTAGTGAAGTTGGTCAGTAACGGGTAGTATCAACTAAGTTCTTCAGCCCCAGTTTATGGTGCTCCAATGTACAACGTTGTTACAACCTCAAAATTTAATGGTTCCACCAAAATTTCATCACCAAGAAAATTTTGTTTCACCACATTTCCAATACCAAACACAATCTCAAAACCCACAACATTTTCCTA